GTGCTGCTGCAGACATATGGTTTAGAATGCATTGGTTCTGCTCCACCTTGAATGCTTTTATCCGGGCTGTTCAGAATGACTGCACCTCTTGAAGGTGATTGGAAGTTCTTTTCGGATTCAATTTGCAGATGGGGAGGAGTATCTTCTTGCTCACCTGCCAATAGGGAATCAGTCCCAGAACAAATTAATGCTCCTTCTGTGGGAGTTTCTGACATGAGATGCTGTGTCATTTTGCTTCCTGATAATGACAGCTGAGAGGGTGAAACCACTGTGTTTCTTGGTGTACTGTATGCATCCTTCAAAGGAGTGTATGTAAACATGCTATGCCGAGGCTCTTCAACTTTATCAAGGTCTGTGGTCTTGTTAACCTGGCTCAACATACTGGTGTTTATTGAGTTCTCATTTCCATTGCTATTCATGTTAAATAAGCTTTTCTGTCCTCCGTTGAGATCAGGCATAGCTGTTTGCTTCTCTAAACAAGCAGTATGAGAATTGGAAAATTTGCATTGGAGATCTCTGTCAATGTCAGCCATAACATTCATTAAGGGAGAATTCACAGATGAGTAACTTGATAATCTACATTTTAATTTTTCAATTCCATCTTTGACGCTAGAAGCACAGGGAGAAGGCTCGGGAAGCGTGAACCTAGAAATGCTTTTCTGAATTGATGAAACCCACTCATTATGTTTTGTGTGTTCTGCACTTAAAAAGGAACCTGGTTGTTTTGAGGATGGAGTCACTATCCCTGAGTGTCTTTCCAAATTAAGAGTATTCGATAACAAGAATATGGACCCCTCCATCGGTGATCTATAATGTTGGTCCAAATGTTGATTGCTATTAACATTATATAGTTTCTCCTTAAGAGAATGTTCTTGTACCAAGCCTTGACTCGAATGTCGATAATCAGGTCCATGCTGGACAAACACATCATACTGAAGTGCTTCACTATTGACTTTTGGTAGGACATTGCCATTAACAGCAGTTAACTCCAATTTTTTCATACCCCTTGGAGATGAATCTTCAGGACTAAGTTCCTTATTCACCTGCAAGAAAACCTGTGCATCAGTTCACCGATAAGAAAAAACTCACGATTATTTTATTAAGCACCTTACGGTTTATTCATTGGTGCAGTTACATAAACATGTAATTAAGAGAATAAGTATTTCAAGTTTCAACTAGAATGCAAGCACAAATATTGCATCAATTATGCATACTAAACAGTTGGCAAGAATAGGACCGGTCATTAACTGTCAAGCATAATAAAAGACATTTTTTTGATCTGGATCCAATGGAATAACGTTGAATTGTATATTTCAGTATGGAACAAGTTGATTATGGACATGCAACCACAAAATAATGTGTTAAGATTAAAAATGTACATAATGTAATAACTAGACTACTAGACGAGTATTTGTGGCAATGAGACTACCATAATAGTCTCCAACAAAGCCGTGGCCATTTACTCCAGGTATTCGACCAAACTATCATGGTCGACCAGAAGACTGAAAACTAAAATTTCAGCTTCTGTTGTACAATCCAATATCCAAGTTCCTAATTTTCCACTGTCATTACCTTCATTCTCACATCCCATTTTATTAAAGAACCCAACCATAGAAATTTTCAGTGTCCGTTTACCACAACCACAAAATCCATTTCAGTAAACAACAAAAACGATAAGATGTTTGAGCCATTAAGAGAATTAATTTTTGAAATAAATAAAATCATATGCACTGGCAGAACCTTTTTGGTTCAAGAGCATACAACAATGCAACCACCCTCAGAACAACAACTAAAACATGCATCATCAAATCTACTAATGTAAAACACCAAATGTATGAGATCAAACCACACTGGCAACAGTTCTATCAAAATCTTGATTGCAAGAGACATTCTTACATTGTTTAATTGATTCTGGGTCTGGACTTGGCCATCACCAGAATCACCAGCAGCTGGATTATGGTCTCCGTTAGATGAGGCATCGTAAGCAGTCTGATGAAGATAACCACCATTTGACTCACTCAACTTGATACGAGAAACAGATTCTGCCTCAGTAGACAAGTCATTGGTGCCGAAATTGCCCATTTCAGTAGTTCTACCATTTCTCATGTGGCCAATTCCATTTTCATCTGATGCAGATACCTCAGCCCCATTCGGTGCCATTGAAGTGGCAGAGACGGCAACTGAGTCAGCATGCATATCCTTGCTGCCCCCTGCAAGAAGTGCATCTAATATTGGAGATAATCTACCATAATCATACTTATGTGGATTTTCTTCTATGATACTCATGTCATTTGAATCTTCCCCACTTCTGACTCTATCAGCAGGGACAGAAGACTGAAGGGTAACCATCTTCGGTTTTGTTAAAGAAATGAGGCTTCCAGAATCAGTAACATTGGTATTATGGGTTGGTGTCTTCTCTTCAAAGGCAAGGCGAACCGCCGTTGGGGTCTTGAGATCTCCTCCGGAGTCTGACCTTGCAAGACTATGGTAATGCATTGAAAATGCTGTAGTATCTAATGTAGCTTCATGAATGTCATCTGAGGCCGCGGAATCAGATAACCGTCCTGGTCTAATGAAATTGGCCGAGACAGGGCCAAAGAAATTGTCTTCTGCAAAAACAAACCATAAAATGCGGTATAATTTTCGACTAAGACATATGAAATTTACACACTCAGCGAAATTACTACCTAACACAAACAACAAGATAAGCTATGCAGTTACAAATTCAATTACCGGCATCCTTTTCGAGTAATTTAAAGTACAGTATAATGTAAGCTGGTAATATAAAGCACCAATTACATAAGCCATTAAGTACTAACATCCTCTAAAGAATCTTCCTTTACTTTCCTAATTGTGTATTCATTACTAATTAATCAAAAATAAGATAAAATTTATAGCTTACCGTCATTAGAGGTAGCAGAGCCCGGAACACTACTCCCAGGAGAGGGCGATCCAATTGGCCTGAAAAACGACTTTCCCCCGTCGTCGTTTTCGTCATCGTCATCGGAATCCCTAAAATCGTCACTGTCACCGCCCAAGTCCCTAAAAAACCCTATCACCGGGTTCTCGGCCTGTTCGAAGTCTTTTTGAGAGCTGGCTTGGGGCTTGGGGTCAGGAGGTGTGTCGTAGTCCTCGTCGCGGTTGAAGATGTGGACGGAGGTGATCTCGGTGTCGGCGAAGCTCACGCGGCGGGAGCGCTTCTCCTTGATTCTTAGGGCTATTGTTTCCGGTTCGGTCTCGGAGTTGCAGGGCTCATCGGGGGCGTTGGAGGCCATCGGAAATGGAGGAATCGGAGAGGGAGATCGGGGAAATTAGGGTTTGCAGTTTGAATTAGGACGGAGTAATGCGCTGTGTGTGTCAGTCAGTCATTGTGGGACTCTGGAGCGGGAGAGAGAGAGAGAGAATGGAGGGAAAATTATTTTAATGGTTTAAAAATGTTTATTTATTTACGATAAGTTTCTGTTTTGAATTTTCATTTTTCTAGTTTTTGGATAATTGCAATTTTGTCCCTCGAAAGCATTTTGTTTTAATTTGTCTTGATTTAGTGGTAATTCTTTCTTCCAAATTTCCAATGATAGAAGGAATCTCATGTTCATAATTAGTTTACATAATTTAATGGCATAATTTTCCACTTGCAAGTGTGCGGTTTTAACTTTGACTCATATAGATAGTGAATTCGATATCTAATTATTATTGCTGACCCATTATGTGACTTGAGTTAAATTCCTCCAAAATCCAACTTGGCATCACACGACTAAACCAGGCTCTACAAAAATGATGACTTATAAGTTGGACTAAGTGAGTGGCATTATTCATTAGCATATGATCGAGTCATTAGATACAAATAAATGAGTAAAAGCCACCTCAATAGAAAGAAATGACTACCATCAAAGCCAATATTTTAAAAGTGAGTCAACGACATAAGTTTCGTGCTATGTAAATGGGATGGCATGTAAGATCAGTCATATATCATGCCCGCCTTGCATCATCGTTACTTCCTCCCAAGCCGCTGCAAGTATATATGCAAGTAATGAGCTCAGAAAATGCAAATAAGGGGGAGGATTGCCTGGGATGGGCTCGATTTCGATTAATATCAACTAATTAACAATTTGCATGCTAAATGTAATGCTTAATTAGCGATTAATTTGTTAATGAATCTAGGGCTGTTGGGACTCTTGGGAGTGGTGATTTTTCCACAAAAATAACATACTGTGGAGTTTGCTATGCTGAAGTGGTTTGGACAAGGAACAAAGATGGAGATGCCACCTACCCTTTAGTGCTTGGGTACATATATATGTTCATCCATTAACTCATGATTTTATTTTTATCATATGATTAGTTCTTAATTAACTACTGATTAATGTACAAATTACAGACATGAGATTGCCGAGGTCGGTCTGAATAATGTTCCTGGATTCAAAATTGGTGATCATGTCGGAGTTGGAACTCATATTAATTCATGCAGAAGTAGTGATTATTGTAATGACGTCCTTGAAGTTTAATGTGAAGGAGTTGTTTACACTTACAACCCTCTCGACGTCGATGTTACCATGAAGATGGACGGATTTTCCACTTGCATTGTTGTCCATGAAATGTGTTGCGTCCCCTCACGAGAAGTTCTTTAATTTGACAGTTATACCAACCCTTAGTGTTACTAATTAATCAACATGTGGCAATGTTCCATATTTATTACTCTTTGTTAATTAAAATACTAGGTGGCATAGTCTGAATGGGTAACAACTACAAAAAAAAATAAATAAATAAAGGTTAGAGTTGGTCTTTGATTTTGTCTGGTACGAGTTGGAGAGAGAAACTCATTTTCTCTATTTATAACTTTGGCGTGCCTTAGCCCCTAGGCTCACCTTGACCACTTTTAGGCGAGTTTAAGCCTTCTCCCACTGGGCAGAGGTGTTTCCACCAATGCCCCGCCTCCAAAGCCAGCTAGGCGCGCCCCGAGCCACGTTTTTTAAAACACTGATTCCGTTCAACAGAAATTCAAATGAGTAATAACAGTAGTATTCATATATAAGTGATCGGTTGATCTTAATTTTCATTGACACTAATTTTTTGTAAATCATTAGCTTAGTGCTCAAGAACGTGGAACAAATTGAGGTGAAGTAAAATAAGCTGAAGCAATTTGCCTACTTCTAGCTTAGGAAGCCTTGACTACAATTGGACTCCTCACATAGTGTTTACCATCTGACCATATCAACTTCCCGAACACATAGTTTTTAGCTTGTTTTTCTTCTTTAACCTGCAGGAGTACCTTAAAGCTCTTCTCTTCACCAATTTTCTTGAACTTCAACTTCTTTGGCTCAACAGAAACCGATACCCCATCCGGGCTTTGGATATACGCCTTATATGTTCCTGGAGAGCCAACATTTTTCACTGTTCTAGTCACCTCAAGGGATCCAGAGAGTTTAGGGACAGTGATTGAGGGGTAGTTGAGGTTAGTGGGACTAATAGCTGGTTTGGGGCACTCATACGTATCCTCTGAAAACATTTCAATTTGTGTTTCGTTGTAGCCCATCGCGCACAGGAAGTTCAAGTAATCGTTAAGGGATAAATCGTATACCAATCCAGGATCCACAGCACTGTTTGGGTTAACATGTCCTGCACCGTAACTAAATGGTGTTGCCTCATAGAAAGAAGCATTGAGCAATGGTTCCATGCTGTTATCTCGTGTTATCGCTGTGTAACACAAGATTTGAAAGAAAATATCAGAAAGACAAGTAATGGTCTCTTGACAGACGTTAATGTGAAGCGAATACATAAACGAATGTGCATAGGGACTTCTTACCGGTGGTCATGATTGCAGATTTAATGGCTGCAGGACTCCAATGAGGATAGAGGGTTTTAAGAAGGCCACAAATGCCGGAAATATGTGGACATGACATTGATGTGCCTGACACTGAGTTGAATGGAATTCGCCGTTTGTCAAACATTTGATTTGTTGGCCCTTGTGCTTCCGTGTAGGCTGCTATGACACTCACTCCAGGTGCAGTGATATCAGGCTGAATTAATGTACAACGACATTTACTAAATACTTAACCAAATCAGCAAAAATATGTGGAGTCTGTTTAATGAACAGAAATTGTGTTTGCTAATAAAAAACCTTAAGGATGCCTGGTGTAATGGTGTTGGGTCCTTTTGATGAAAATGCTGCCATGCATGGAGATGGCTTTGTTCCCAGTTCCGTTATTGCACGCTTTATGTATGCCCGCGGAGACCTGTCAAAATATGCAAGTTCTTAACTAGTAATTTTACCAAAAACTTGATATTGCTGACACTGCGGTGAAGCAGCCTAACATATGAAACCGACGCAGTCTAAAACAGGCAATTTGGAGGTACTTCATCCATCTTACTTAGTTGAGTTGATATAAGCAAAGACTAGGATGCCGTCGGTGAAATTGATATGTGAAGCAGGGAGGACATGTGGATCAGAAACAATTTCATTCCCGTAAAGAGCATTGTTAGCAAGAATCATTCCCACAGCGCCAGCCAGTAAGGCTTGCTCACCCTTGTCCACTCTTGCATTTTCCCCTCGCAGGCAGGCCAAGATCTTTCCCTTCACTTTTTTAGGATCAAGCGTGCCGGCCTTGCATAGCAGACTGCAGCATCATATAAGCAGATTACTAAGAACTTGAATATAATTTTAGTATAATGAAAATCGGAAGATTGATGTTGCCTATCCTTACGCTTCTTTAGCTGATGCATTAGCTGCTTTAGCATCCGCAGCACTAATAAGTTGGTAAAATTTCTTGCTCCGCAAGGCAGCAGGCGATAAGCTTTGTCCCTTGAGAACAAAGTAGATAAAACTTACCATGGATTTGAGTAGCTTTGCAGGATATATAACATAAGTTCCCATAAAACACCCTAACATGTCTTATTATGTATACGATAAAAAGGGATGGCTAACGATTTTGGCACTCCTCTTCTGTCTATCTGCACTCCGAATTGAATATTTTATAATTTATTGTTTCTGCAGTCACAGGTGAAGTACAAAGACTAAACGAGGAGTGTTAAAATCATTAGTCGGAAAATGGACTATAACTAACCTTGAGGTGCTTCCAGTTGCCAAGGGTGACATAACTCGGAAACTCCCTATCCATAGTGCTGGCGCCGACTATAATCTGCCACGGCGATATATTCGAGACAGTACCTTCAGCCGGACCAGAATTCCCCGCTGAGCAAACCACAACAATGCCATGCTTAACAGCATGAAAAGCACCAATTGAAACACTGTCATTGAAGAATGTAGTAGGGTCTCCACCCAGTGAAACGGACAACACATCAACACCGTCATCGATGGCCGCATCAAATGCAGCCAATATATCTGCATGAAAGCACTCACTTCCATTCACCGGAGACCAGCACACCTTATAGGCTGCAACCCTGGCTTTTGGTGATCCACCCTTTGCTGTTCCATTTCCAAAGCCGAACACGCTCGCACCGGTTACAAAATTGCCACCAGCGGTTGACAAGGTGTGGGAGCCATGGCCATCGTCGTCACGTGGTGAATCGAAGGAGGAGTTGAGGGGACCAGCAGCTGCAGCATAGCCCTTGTTGAAGTATCGTGCTCCAACAAGCTTCCTTTCATGCCAAAAAGTTTGTAACCAAATGAGTTACAAAGTTACCACCCTTAATTTACAATATGACAAATGTGTTGAAGAATATAAAATCCCCCATCGCAAAGTTTTATAGATAAAATGCAACTTACAATGAGTGATTCCACTACTAATAGCATCGATATTTTTGCATAAAATATCACACCCATTAGTATGTATAAGTAATTAAATTAAAGATTATATCAGTATTGATTAATAATGAATTGCTAAAGAATATACCAGTATTGATTAATAGTGAACTGCCAGCAAAATACACTTACTAGGGCATTTTAGATGAACTGAGGACTACTGCATACATGCAGATCATAAACTACATCAAGACAACAGTCATATTCAGGACCTGTCTTCTCTCCCATTATTATTTTTTTTTTTATCATAACTGAAATTTTCATACCGTTAAACAAACAGAGTACAAGAGTTTTGGGGGAGCAAAGGGAAACCTCATTAAAAACCTCCAAAAAAACCCAACTTGCTCACCACTTACAAATAGGGAAAAAGAGTGCTTCTCCCGTTATTAAAACATAATTTGTTTGCTTAATCTAAAGAAATCGTTGTATAATATGGATAATATTAGAGAGACTAAATGTAGGGGCTAAAGTTTGTAAACTAAATGACGTCAAAGTTGATGATGAGATTATTCCTTAAGTGTTGATTAACGTACTTATTTCATATTGATGACACATAATTTAATTTACAAATTTAGTCTATCTAACATTACTCTTATAATATATATATGTTTTCTTTTACTGTCTTTCTTTGGACTACAAGCAATGAAAGAGGGAAGGGGATCATCTCTGAATCCTTTCCACCTAATCATTCTCATCAAACAATCTGGGTCCTTGAAATTTGATTCAACATCTAAAGTTATTATAACTTTTAAAGTGGGCCCATGTTTTTAGCCGTTGGATCAAATTTTAAGGCTCCAAATTATTTGATGAGGATGATTAGGTGGAAAGGAATTGTGAAAGAGTGTAATAGAATAGTGACTAGAAGTTGGATTTTTGATGAAGTTTTTGACTATAATAGCTTTGGACAAAGAGTTTGACTACAATAGCTTGGTTAATTTCTTGCCCTGGAGAAGATGTCTTTTTCGAATATTAAGCAAGTTCATTTGGGAAGGTATAAGTAAGGTAGTGTTACCCACACATTTAGTTTTACCTCTTACATATCTCTCTCAATTTTCGGTGGATCGAGTGAATTATAGAAGATTAATAGACAAAATTAATAAAGATGTGCGAGAGATAAAAAATGTGTGTGAATAGCACTACCCGTTTTCCTACTACCAATAATATAATATTCACAAAGATTTTTATAATCCACTATGCCACAATAAAACTACATCATAATAATTGAGCTAACCATCGGAGACCTCCTCTAAACGAGTATCATAAGACCACATGCCTGTGCGGGATTTGGTAAACTTTTAAATAAGATAATTGATTAGAAATTTAAATGTAGTTTTCAAATATGAAAATAATTCACAAAAATTAATCAAATTCTAATCTAATTACATGCATCTCAATTTATTTGCGGTTCTATGTTTCTAGAATAATAATGGCCGCAACTTTATGAGAAAGTTTCGTACGAATCCTGCTTTATAGATGCCATTTACTCCACTACTAAAGGGGATCACCTTGGTTGGATTGGACCATCCAAGTTTGGATAAAACTGGGACTGACTACACAGAACAAAGATGAATATCTCTTGGCTTTTTTTCCAATTTTAACACGCGGATTTTAGCAATAAATATATCTTTTATTTTTTATTTTTTATAAAGCGTACTTTAAATTACTTTAATTTACGAGATAAGAATTTAAGTTCAAATGCAAGAGACATTGACACACTATAGTGTCTAAGACACTTATATATGTACCGACGAGCGTATCTTGTTTAACTTATACCAAGATACTTTTTTAACATTTGATTTTTAATGTTGTAGAAAATGAATGAGGATCCTGAGAATTCTCAAATCGTGTCCGTTCATCGTACATCGTGTGATTATAAATCATTTTAAATACTTTTATGTAAAATTAAATATAAATAATATATGACAAAAACTGATCGCACGATATATAATTAATGAACACGATTTAAAGATCATTATAAGCCTCACAAAGAGGATCTAGAGAGGATCTCATTCGTAGAACGGGAAACAGAAAGTAACTAATCTCAATTAGAAAATAATCATAAAATAGTGGGTACCTATTACAGTGAAACTCAGAATCTGTCTCATTTTGGCAGATTCCTTTCCACTTGGATGGAATCGGTCCATACCCTTCATCACTAAAGCTCTTGGATTCTGGCCATGCGCCTACAACCCCATTCAAGAACACTAGGGTCATCAGCAATGCTCCTTACAAAACAATCGAAAACTCTTTTTTCGTGTGAAATATTTTTAAAATCCAGCTAAAAAAACGTACCAATATTGCAATAAGGACAGTCGAGTGCAAGTCTAGGGTTTTTTTTTTTTTTTTTTTCTTCAAATGAGAAATTTGGAAGTCTCTGACTATAAATAGAAAGATTTTTCAGTGAATCCGGAATATTGAGCAATACATCATATTGTTAGACAATCGAAGAGACACTTAAAAAAAAAAACTACATTCCAATTGTATAATGACATGTGTTGTACTGTCTCGTATTTTGAACACACCAAAATATTTCTCCTATATATTGGGGTTTTTAGGTACTTAATTGTGAAAACGATACGTTAATAAATTAAGAGGGAGCTAGGCGAATACTAAGAATTTAGCTAGTTTTTATACAACAATATTTTTACAAAAAATGACCATAATTATATTAATGTGAAAATAAATTGATATCGAAATCATTGTGTACGAGTGAAAATAAATACAATTGCGCAAGCTCTTAAAATTATATGAATGGTGGTCTAAATGACCAAAACTACAAAAAGACCATAAATTAGAGTTAAACCGTCTTGAGAGAAGCCTTACACAATATAAACTAGCTTTGTTTTAAAAAAGAATTGTATTGCTATTCAATAATGCGCTCTAGCGGTATTCCTCTTTATTTATAAGTGAGAGATTATAGGCTCGATTCTCGCTAAAGACGAATTTAAACCACATTAACAATACTAGCTAATAATTAATTGAGATCTTTCAATATAGACGCCTCAATTTTAAATTTTCTAGGTCAAACACTCATGCCTTTTAGTGATTTGATTAAACTTTTTTTTTTGTCATAATTTTGGTGCTATATGCACATTATATTGTAACAAATTTCCTATAATCTAGCCTTTTGATTACACTCTCCTCCGTTAGAGATGATTGTAAAAAAAAAAAAAAAAAAAAAAGGTTGGTTAGATTCAATTTATTTTTACAATAATGCTACAATTTAACAATAATTATCTACGATTGAAGATATTTTCTTTCCAAATAGTTTAAAATATTTTTAAAACCGAAATGAGTTTTTCTTTTAGTACGTTAAGAGAAAATAGGATTGAGAATAGTATAAATGTACCAATACACAATGTGTACAAAATAAAACGTACCAAAATAAAAATAATGTACCAACATTAACAATATGTATCAAATCAAACGTACCAAAATTGCAAATAAACGTACCAATTAATGAATTTTGTAAATTCAAATGTACCCGCATATAATATATATGTAATATATTGTACCTAATAATAATTATATACGTAATATATTGTACCTAATAATAATTCGTCAACAACTATACTTAAAAAAAAAACAGCAAAAACATTATATATAATTTCACAAAAAAATTGAAAAAAGAAATAATATTAAATGTTTGCATAAAAAAAACATATTTGGAAGAAGAGAAAATATAGTTGAATTACTAAAATCTCCACTAAATAAGGAAAAGTGCATCCTGCAGATAAAATGATAAATTTAAAATTTATTTTAATTTTAAAAAATAAAGATGATTATTGGTCAAAGTACTTTAATCAAATTTTAAAAAGACATAGATGTTTAATCCAAATGATATAGAAAAAAATATAGGAAATTGTAATTTTCCCTAATTATTTTTAGAAGAATTGCCTCCCTAACACTATGTTTGGATGAGGGAAATAAACATAGAATTTTGGTAAAAGTCAGAATTTATAAATTAACAGACACCAATTCTCTTGTTTGGATTCATAAGCATAGAAATTTAGAATTTCCGCATGGAAAAAAAACTTGGAATTTGGGACCTCCAAATCCCAAGTTCAAATTCGATGTAAATATGTGTCATTTCTCAATTTCTATGATTGAGAGTTTAAAAATAATAAATTCTGTATTCAATTCCATTGTTCTTTTAGGTTAACCAAACAAGAAAATTTACAAATTCTAGAAAATAAAATCTCGTCATTTCAATTTCTGTCATTTTTAAATTCCTTAGTAATCTTAAATTTCTTCACCCAAACATAGTGTAAATGTTTTGTCATATACATGTACGTGTATTAGTGGAGAGTAAATTGATCAAATATGTCAGCACGAAACTATTACGAAAACATGAAAATCAAATGTTGAACATTGAATGTTGAAAAGTACTATTATTAAAATGAGTGACAATAACCAATTAACGATTCAACGATCCAGATCAAAACTATTGGGCACATGGCATGAGCTGATTGATGCCTTTTCTAAAATATTTTGGTGCTTGAATATGACTTGGAAGTTATCCAAACTATTGGGCACATGGCATGAGCTGATTGATGCTTTTCTAAAATATTTTGTGCATGAATATGACTTGGAAGTGAAGAAATTTGTTTTTAAAATTTAAAAATAATAATAATAATAATAATACAAAGAACAAGAAAAACTTACCAGTATCAAGGTTTCCTATGATTGAATCTTCACCGTATCTTGCCTTCTTCCAGATTGAATTGGGTGAAACAACATCATCTTGCTCAAGTCCCAAGAAATCCCACGATCGAGTTGTGTGTAATTTTCTTCCCTGGTTCAAGAATACTGAGACTACCTTTGGATGATCTACAGTGTTTCAATGGCAGCATAAGAAAAGAGAAAACTGGGGAAAAAGAAAAACAAAGAGAAAACTTAGGATAAAGAGAAGATAGCAGAAATAAAATTCTCACTAGCAATCTGAACTGCGTCTTCTTCTTCTAGTGTAGCAGCAAAGCCATTGATGTGCCTTGTGTATGAGTAAAACATGGATTCTTTTGCAACTTCATGGCTGCATTTTTGCAGAAAAAAGTTCAAACATTTGATCGGCGGAAGACGGTGTTTATGTATTTTAGTTGGAAATATGTGTTTAAGTACCTGCCCAAGAAGGAACCAAGAAACTCATGGTGATTGTCTGTGACTTGGTTTAGTTCACGTTCTGACAAGTTTGGGGGATGTGAGTGTGATCCCAGGTATACCACATATGACTGCAGAAACAGTAGAAAGTACCCAAAAAAAAAAAGGAAAAAATCATCACAAGTACTAGTGAAATGCAAAGGAAGCTACTCTGCTGTTTTGTTCTTGCGGTTTTTAATGGAGGAAGACGAGAATGAATGCTTACCTTTTTTATGGCAAAGGTGGGGGTATGGAGTACTAGAGAGGAGAGAAGAAAGGAGAGGAGGAGGTAAAGGGCTGTGGTTGGTGGCCTCATCGACCCTTGTTCTCCTGCCTCTTGTGGAACACAAACTTTGGTTTTTGTGGTTTTTTTTTTTTTCAGAGACTTCCAATAGATGTTGGAGAAAGAAGCTGGCCAACTTGAGATATGCAATGCCCGATGGGTTATGGTATTAGCCTAACTGGAGAATGTAAATTTAATATGTATATATATATCGAGAAAAATGAGGAGTGGTCGTATTTGAAAGGAGGGCATAAGGTCAATGAGTTTCATATACATCTTAACGCCCCGTTATTACACGGTGTTATTATTAAGTATTGTAACATGAATGAACAACATAACTAATATGTCATAAATTTGTAATATAATATTAAAAGTTAGACCACACATACTATGACATAATTACTAATTTATAATACTATATGACATTGTTAGATCGAATCAAAAAGTTCTGTTATATCTTTAAGACTAATAACAAGTTGCCAAAATATATTAATTTGACTTGGACTATTTGTAGGCTGTGGACCCTGCAATTATAAGAATTGAATGTTTGGAGATGAAGACAAAGAAAAGGGGGTTGGTGGATCGAAAGGTGGAATCTGAGTTTTGAACCTTATGTGGTGGCTAAGGCGATAACAGAGTGAAATTTACGAATGAGAAGCCTACACGTATACAAGAGGCTCGATGCACTTCCAAAATTCCATAGGCCAGTCCAATGCCGGCTGATGAAATGGCCAGGTACATTCATTTTTAAATCCAACTGCTATTTAATCAATTTTAACAGTGATAGATAAGTAGTTCTTTATCACAGTGATAAAAAAGTATTGAGCATTTATATAACGGTATGGATTCAAATCTCGTTAGTAGCTAACCTAATATCTAATTTAACAAAATATATCGTTTGACCAAAAAATAATAATAATAATAATAACAGCAATAAACAAACATCTAACAACTTACATTTAAATGTAACGATCAAAATATTAATTAATCCAAATCAAATATAATAGCAAAACTCCTTCAAAAATCTATAAATACACATCCATTCGTTCACTAATCCATAAACTCATTCAATTTTCTCAACAATTTTTTTTTCTTTTGGAATTTGAATTTTTTTTACATCAAAATATTTGTGAAAATAAAACAATATAGATAATACAAAAATATTAGTAAAAAAATATTCAACGAAATACAAAGGTTTAACAAATTATAAAGTTAGGGGTGAAAATTATAAGTCCCTTACGTGAACAGTTGAAAATACGCCCTTTATTGCCTAATGTTCTTAGAAAGGGTGGGGACCTTCTTTGAGCCCTCACCAAAGCTAATAAGTTTGACCTTGTTACAACATCTCTTTTGGTTAGATTAATGTATCCATCATTAACATGTATACGTCTTTAAAAAGAAATATTAAATCCTAGGTTTCCTAACAAGAAAAATTCTCTACAGTAAGTTGTAACCAAGACAGAATCTTAGGTGTAGGAAAAAAAAAAAAAAAAGGAACTTTGTACTTATACCCCAATTTTTATCCCTCCTGCCCCGTAATCTTTTGACATCCAACAAAACTTGAGAATTTTAACTTCTTATTCTATTTAGGGAAAATTATGTACACATTCTTTTTTTTTTTTGTTACTCCATTGATTAAAATCCTATTCATTTTGAATTTTTGATCAAGGTACTTGGGTATTAATAACATCATTAATTATTTGAATAATAAAATATTTTTATTTTTAAATATATTCCTTTAGTGTTAAAAATGTTGCAATTAGTATATTTATATTTATGACTAAATTTTTTGTCATATATTTTTATTTTTAGTTTGTACATATTTTTAATTTGCAAATATTTTTTAATTTGTACCAATTTTCTTTTCATTTTTAATTTGTACCCATATATTAGTTTCTTTTTGTGCCCATATTTTTTAAAGTTTTATTTGTGTTTGTACCCATGTGTGTACGCCACGTGACATTGTATATTTAATCAATGATAGAAAAATTACATATGGTATATTTATGTTTTATGCCTAAACTTTGAATCATATTTTTATATTTTTAGTTTGTACCCACTTTTAATTTGCAACATTTTTTTTTTTTAATTTGTAGTATTTTTTTTTTTAGTTTTATTTTGTACCCATGTATTAATTTCTTTTAGCGCCTATATTTTTAAAAATTCATTTGTACTCATAATTTTTAATCTTTTATATGGACCCTAATTTATTTATAATGTACCCATTCTTCTTTATTACTACTATCACATCCCGGCTCGGGTGGGACCACTTCCCGGGCCCGCTCCACCACCGTAACACGATATTGTCCGCTTTGGGCTTACCATTCCCTCACGGTTTTGTTTTTGGGAACTCACGAGCAACTTCCCAGAGGGTCACCCATCCTGGGAGTGCTCTAGCCCTCTTCTCGCTTAACTTCGGAGTTCCTACGGAACCCGAAACCAGTGAGCTCCCAAAAGGCCTCGTGCTAGGTAGGGATGAAAATATACATATAAGGATCAGTCCCCTGGGCGATGTGGGATGTCACAATCCACCCCCCTTAGGGGCCCGACGTCCTCGTCGGCACATTTCCAGCCAGGGATAGGCTCTGATACCAATTTATCACATCCCCGCCCGGGAAGCCCGGGTGGGACCACTTCCCGGGCACGCTCCACCACCGTAGCACGATATTGTCCGCTTTGGGCTTACCATTCCCTCACGGTTTTGTTTTTGGGAACTCACGAGCAACTTCCCAGAGGATCACCCATCTTGGGAGTGCTCTAGCCCTCTTCTCGCTTAACTTCGGAGTTCCTACGGAACCCAAAGCCAGTGAGCTCCCAAAAGGCCTCGTGCTAGGTAGGGATGGGAATATACATATAAGGATCAGTCCCCTGGGCGATGTGGGATTTATCACATCCCGGCCCGGGTGGGACCACATCCCGGAGGTGATGGATGTGTAGATGGAGGGGGAGAAGGAGGAACACCATGGGAGGGAGGTGGAGATGGAGGAAGAGAGGGCGGCAAGAGGTTCTGGTTTTGGCGTTGAAGGAATGTCACATCCCCATCCGGGGCAGGACCTTTTCCCGGGCCTGCTCCACCACCGTAGCACGATATTGTCTGCTTTGGGCTTACCATTCCCTCACGGTTTTGTTTTTGGGAACTCACGAGCAACTTCCCAGAGGGTCACCCATCCTGGGAATGCTCTAGCCCTCTTTTCGTTTAACTTCGGAGTTCCTACGGAACCCGAAGCCAGTGAGCTCCCAAAAGGCCTCGTGCTAGGTAGGGATGAGAATATACATATAAGGATCAGTCCCCTGGGCGATGTGGGATGTCACAATCCACCCCCCTTAGGGGCCCGACGTCCTCGTCGGCACATTTCCGGCCAGGGATAGGCTCTGATACCAATTGTCACAACCCGGCCCGGGTGGGACCACTTCCCAGGCCCGCTCCACCACCGTAGCACGATATTGTCCGCTTTGGGCTTACCATTCCCTCACGGTTTTGTTTTTGGGAACTCACGAGCAACTTCCTAGAAGGTCACCCATCTTGGGAGTGCTCTAGCCCTCTTCTCGCTTAACTTCGGAGTTCCTACGGAACCCGAAGCCAGTGAGCTCCCAAAAGGCCTCGTGCTAGGTAGGGATGGGAATATACATATAAGGATCAGTCCCCTGGGCGATGTGGAATGTCACAACTGCTGTACCACTTTGTTATATGTGAAATGTACCCTGTTTTTTTAACACTATGGATACATTCTTTTGCCATTTATTCTTTCTTATTTTTACATAGTTTTTATCCATTTATTCAATCAAAATGTTTGAATTTTTTTATTGTAACCGTTTCTAATAGTATTATAATGAGGGTTTTTAAATGTATAGGATCATAAATCTCATAAATATCAAACAATTAATGTCAAAACTATAAAAATAAAAATATTAATAGTAATATAATGAGGTGTACAAAGTCAAGGGACCTTGACCAAACTTTGAATACTATTAAGGTTTTAATCAAAGAATGTTAAGAATTAGGGACCACATCCAAAGTATCCCTTCTATTTACCTAGTTATTCTTCCAAAATGTTTGTCATATTTAAATTTAATTTTGACCTTTTATTATTGACTTGAATGAATATGCAACATTTGAGTTGAAAAAAAATTGAAGATTGTAAAGTTTTATGTGAAAAACATGGTTGATTACACAAACGTTCGGATCTGGTGCATTGAACGTTGGGTGGAGGGCTATGAAAAAATTGATGCAAGACATTTGGACTTGGTGCATTGAATGTTGTCCTTGTCGTTCGGCAGGGTGACACAATATGTCAACTATAATTTGGTATCAAACTCGTTATTCATAAAAGTCAAATCTGAGACCTCACACATGTAGAGACATAAGTTAACCACATCAAATAAGAGAACAACACATAAATTATGAGCTTAATATGACAGATTTACACTTACGTTGCGAGAAGACTACACACGAAACCATAGTGGGCTAAGCATTTGCATGGTGTTCATTCTTGGGCCTTTGGATTCCAGTACATATCATGGTGTTCATTCCAAGACTATGATATCCCTACTTCGCCCCCGAGGAGGCAGGGGCTAACTCTTCAAAGTCTCCCTTTGGTTGTTGTCCGCTAGAGACTATCCCGGCGGGCCAGCAGTGTTGTCTACACCATACTCACATAACACATGTCTGCCTAGCATGGCCTGCAATACTGCTAGCTGGCTGCTTACGTGGAGTCTCTCCTATAAATAGCAAAGTAAAAAAGGAGATCAGTAATCGTCACATACTACTCAGAACTCTCTCAAGTTCAATTTCTCTCAAACTATTTCTGATTTAGGCTTTGCACCCTCCCTTTTTTCTTGAGTCTTCATCCATTAGCCTAATGGTGTTATTGTTTTGCAGGTATGATTTTTGTCAATCTATTATTGACAAAAATTTACATCCACGACATCTACATATGGAGAAGAATACCATTATACTATACAACTAATGACAACTCTAGTGATCCTTAAAAGGACAATAAGTTAGCGATAGGACTAGGTGTCACTGTGGAGTGGTGGTGCCACTAGAGTGTCTTGGCATAACCAAACTTTCCAAGTTTCCTATCTTGGGGCTACAGTAAACTTCCCCTACCCAAGTTTATAATGGGCTGAGCTTGTTTCAGATTCAACCTAAACCTATGTCAGATTTGGGTCTGGCTCATTCTGGGCTAACCCAACTATAATCATCCACCACAAAATCCAACTGCTAACCGATCGGCACCTATGATAAATGGCCCAAATACTATATGTACTAAGTACTAACATTTATTCTTACGAAAGAGTAATGCTCCATTTAATTTTTATAATAAAAGTAGGGTCTGCCGATGCGGTGGGCATTATCTTTATTAGAGAAATTGTACAAATAAATGGTAAAAATAATATTTTTATTTAAAAAACTGTTATCAGCATTTCAAAAAAGTCATCATGCCATTCTTCAAGTTCAATTTCTCCTTTACATTTTACAACAAACGAATGCTTGATAACTTTCTTCTGATAAATCATGTTTACTGATTAATTGTTAAATTAAAAATAAGATAAAATGACTTGTAACTTAAGTAGTAAAATGTCTTCTCACCTGCGCACGATGTCATGCTCCCTTTTCCCTCAACTATTGCTTGAATTTAGAAGGGAAAAAAAAAAAAAAAAAAAAAGCTCATTTATGCACATCAGATATATATAAAACATGTAATGTCATTTGTAATTATGATACACAAATAAGCTTCTAGTTATTGTGGTGTACAATAGACGTACATCGAATTATCAATATATCTGTTACAAGTTATTCACGTAATTAGATTAAGTCATAACGTAAAAAAAAGAATATATAAAATTGGGTAAAGTACAAAAAACTACCTCAACTATTGGGGTCACGACAGTTTCATACCTCATCTTTTAAAATTGACAATGTCATACCCCATCTTACGAATTTGTGACAATGTCATACCTCCGTCAATTTTTTTGTTAAGTGCTAACGTGACTTGATTCGGAACCTATTTTCTATTAAAAATTATTAAAAACTAAAAAATAATTATTTAATATTGTTTAAATATTAAAATAATAATAATAATTAAAAAAAAAAAAAAACCCTCATTTTGTTCGTCCCCTTCTCCCTCCTCCCTCCTCTCCCCATCTTCATCTTCTTCCCCCACCTACAAATCCCAAAAAAAAAAAAAAAAAAAAAAAAAAATCCAATTTGTCTTCCCTCACACCCACACTCAGTTTCCCCCACATGCACACTCTTCTCCCTTCTGCAACCCAGAAAAAAAAAAAAAAAAAAAACCCAGATCCCTTCGGCGGGATCTTGGGTGCGCAGAGAAGATAGAGGATGAGTGCGGAAGAGGATGTGGAAAATGGATGAGAGTGGTGGATTTGGGGTTTGATGGGTTTTCAAATTTTTTTTTTTTTTCCCTCTTCTTCTTCCTCCTCCTCCTTCTTCTTCTTCTTCTTCCGCAGGGGAGTTATGGTTTTGAAATTTTTTTTTTTCCTCTTTTTCTTCTTCTTCCTCCTTCTCCTTCTTCTTCTCCTTCTTTTTCTTCCGCAGGGGGGTGTTTATGGTATTTCAATTTTTTTTTTCTTCCTCCTTTTTTTTCCTCTTCTTCTTCTTCTTCTTCCTCCTCCTCCTTCTCCTTCTCCCTTCTTCTCCTTCCACGCCGACCGGGGGGGGGGGGATTTTTTTTTCTTTTTCCCTTCCTCCTTTTTTTTCCTCTTCTTCTTCCCCCTCCTCCTCCTCCTTCTCCTTCTTGTTCTTCTGCGCGCGCGCGCGCGGGGGGGGGGTAGTTGTTGGGTTTTTAAAAAAAAATATATATATATATATATATTTTTTTTTTGGGTTTGCAGGTGGGGGAAGAAAATGAAGATGGGGAGAAGGGAGAGGAGGGGGAGGGGGGAGGGACGAACTGATGGTTTTTTTTTTTACTTATTATTATTATTTTAATATTTAAATAATTTTAAATAAATTTTTTTTTAGTTTTTAATAATATTTTAATGATTTTTTAATAGAAAGTGGATCCCGAATCAAGCCACGTCAGCATTTAATTGAAAAGTAAACAGCCACGTCAGCATTTAACTGAAAAGTAAGCGGCCAAATAACGGAAGGTATAACATTAGACCAAATTCTAAAGATGAGGTATGATATTGTCAATTTTAAAAAATATGGTATGAAAGTATCGTGATACCAATAATTAAGGTAGTTTTTTATATTTTACCCCATAAAATCTTGTGATATATAATTTTCAAATCTCTCTTTCTATTACCAATTAATTTTAGAATTATACACCCTAACTGTAACATGTGCCGCATCTCCTGCCTCTTACCTTGAAAGTACTGGTAACAAATGTCCCACAAACGGCCGTAAGACAGTACGTTAAACCACCTAAAGTAAGGCTGTGGTTTGTCTCATGCAGTGACTCTGGCACCGTCTAATACCGGTCAAACAAGGCAGTTGGCTCTCTCCTATCAAAAGCTGCCCACATACCACGAATTTTTTTTTAAAGTTTATGGGTGATGGGAATAATAGGTCACCATATCCAACGCCAGAAACATCCAAACTTTCCACATTCCTGCAGAGCAAAGCTCAAGGCCGCCGTTTTTGGCATTATTCAGCTGCTAATAACATTGTAATGGTAAACATATTATATCTTCTACTGATATCTGACAAAACATGTGTAAATTTTGCTGGAGAAAAATAGTGAGTGAGAAATAATGTTGAAGAATAAAACTGTTTCTGCCGTCTGCTGTTTGAGAAGGAGCAGTGCTATCTAATCTCTCATATCTGCAGTTGGATTTTCTGTTGTCTTTGCCTACTTCCATCACTTCCATCTCTTCTTACAAATACCACTTCTCTGCACACTTCTCATGCAGTCAAGCAAGTTCGAGCAAGAGAGATCAAGGCTAGAGTTGAATACAATTGCTATATATTTGCTAATAACTTCTTCCAATTTCTTTGTCGTAGTTTTGCTTAAGATTCAGATTCAGTACTCTAACTATTGTGTAAGTAATGTAGTTTAGCTTCTTATACGTTGTCAACTCATCTCCTGTTGTTGTTACGCTTTCGAAAGTATAGTTTGATTCCTATTCATTGTTTGCTCATTTCCTACGCTTACACTTTCAAAATTAAGGTTGTCTATGTATATAGTATCAAAATCTTCTTTACTTCTTGGAAAGTAATGTAATTAAATTTGTATACATTGTTAGCTCATTTCATGTAATTTTTGCCTTTTTTTAGGGTTATTAGCTATCTCATATACAATCAGAACTAGGTAAAAAATGATTTCTGATAAATTTCTCAGTTGGATGTCTTCTTTTCTTGCAAAATTATCATTTTCATAATTTCTAATTATAAGAATGAGGCTTTTACATTTGGTCTTGGATAAATGGGTTCGATATTTTAGTTTTTTGAGCTTCTTATTATTTTGCAGGCCAGTATTATGATGAGATGCATGATGCACGAGGATTAAGGATCAACCTATCTGCCAGTCAAGAAGCATGACGTGCCTGGCTCCCTGGATGCCATCTAAGCAAATTGTCAATAAGAATGCTGATTTTTCTTAGTTGGTATTCAGGGAGCCGTGCATGTCTAGCTGTTAGACTTACCGTCCGATCAACCCTCATCATGATGTGAAGTATACAGTCAATCATCTCCTACAGTAAGTACACAGCTACATGGAAGTGTTTCTTTTGGGAAAATACTTGGCTGCTGGACGGTTCAGCAGAAACTCCTGCTGAAACTTTAGCAGCCAAGCAGCGTTCCTTCTTTTGTTGATCCGCTAAAATGCTCTCTCCATTTTCTGTTTCTTGCTTTGTCCCTCTTGTTCTTGTTTTTCTATTTTTTTTTCTTGTTTTTATCAAGAGTAAGCCAAAGGTAATTGCTGTTCAAGTTGTCATTTGTTGCTTAGTAAGTTATTCATACCACTTAAATATATCACAATTTCGTCATTTAGTACTACGATCTAATGATATTTCTCTTTACTTGTAAATAAGAGGTTTTAGGTTCGATTTTCGTCAAAGACGAATTTAAATCACATTATTACTAGCTCATTATGAGGTTAACCCTATCCCCTCCCTCTTGTGTACATAATATCATTTGTTAAAAAAAAAAAAAAAAGCAATCAAACCCTAAATTTTAGCCCATTATAAGGCTAAGCTTACCCTCTCCATTTTGTGTACATAATATCATTTGTTCAAAAAAAAAAAATCAATCAAAATTTAAAACAAAATTGTCGGCAAGACGACAAAAAATTACAAGAGAGTAAAAGTCATGGTTCCAGACTATATTTTTTTTTTCCGGTTTTCTATGCCATTGGAGTTTGGAGGGAGTGCTAGTGAAGATAGGACAGGGGATAGTTGAAGGGGAATGAGGGATGAGATTGGGGCTGCTGGGGATATGAAGAGAGAGTGGGAGAAGGAAACATACATAAAAAATGCAACCAATTTTATTTCAAGTTAGGTGTTTAATTAAAAATATACTAAATTTAGAAATTCAATTAAGGTGATATGACATGTTCAACTCATACACCACTTAAGATGATATTAAAATGTGGTATAAAATTATGGTAAGAGCAACATTACTCTTTACCGCCATCTTGATTTGTAATTTAACCAATTATGATGAAATGTACATGAGCCAGAAGACCTAAATAATTCATGAAGAGTAATGTTATGTTACTAAATGTATGCATGAGCATGACTCGTATTAAGTGATTTTAGCCGCGAAAATGTGCACCTTGTGGCATCAAAATTTCCGCCTTAACTTGTAACACATTAAACTATGAAACATGTACAGTAACAACACTTAAACATGAGGCACATCACAACACATAGTTAAAGAGCAAATCACACAAATTAAAGAATTGGGTTAGCAGTGTGAAGTATGTAATTGCAGACTGAAAATGTCAACTTTCCATATATAATTATATGCTCACAGAAGAAAAGAAACTATGAAATTGTCACTATACATACACTATATATAGCTGTATACATAATAGTAAGTAACAATTATAGAATAGTGCAATTACAGAAGGGGTCTTGGTATTGTGGATAGACTGTCGCCATCTTAATTTGACTATAACCAGTTATGTTGAAAGGTACATATCCTGATGGAAACTATTAGGATTTAGGTTTACTTTAATATTTGGTTTCTTAAATTTAGCCTTTTAATATTAGAGTTAAGATTAAGTTATTATGAATAACATGCTTGTTATTCGATTGTGAAATATGTTAATCACGATGTAATCTTTTAAAGTTCTGTTTTAACGATTTTATTTAATAATATTTTATTATTTTGTAATCATGTTCGTCACGTATTTTGATGTTCAATTTGGTATCATAGCAGGTTGGATTCTTCGGCATCCAGTCTGCTTCTGTTTGTTCGTATCACTTTGCCTATATCTTCCCTGTTTGTTTTTGTCCAGTTTCGTTCCGTGAAACTTTTTTTCGTTTTCTGATTTGATTGTCGTTACCCAAAAAAAAAAAAAGGAGAAAAGAATCTGTTAAAGTCTGAAGCCGGAGTCGCGTCTGATGAGAGTTGTCCCATATCGATGAAGAATAAGATTTGTTATGTGTTTATATGATTTTGGACTATTCTCCATATTACGAATTAGTTTTATGGTGGAATCTCAATTTTATCATGGCATCAGAGCAGGTTGTTCTCGTGTGAAACTAAACGGCCACATGTGCTCCACATCACCCAGTTGTTGTTCACGTGTAAGCTTGAAAATCCGTCACACGTACGAAAACGTGTTAAGAGTTGTTCTACATTGACGAGGGATAAGGTTTGCTACGTGCTTATACCAATTAGTGGAACCTCAATTTAATCAGCGCCGACCACCAGCCGCTGCCCCTGCTGTCGTCCACCGCTGCGTTTGTTCCTGTTCCCTCCGCAACGATCTGATCACCGGCTCAGTGATCAGACGAATCCACCACCATCTCGCGCCTGTCTTCAACGTCCTGACGAACCCAGTTCCGTCCCGTCTAGCACCACCATCTGAAAACACCATTGTCAAACTGCTTGCATCCATCCCGCATACCTGAAAACCCAGCACTGAAGGAACCTGCAACCCAGATCCCAGCCCGCACTACTGTTGTCTGATCGATCACGTCCTGTTACCAAAATTCGCCCATTGATGTACCAGACCACCACCTACGCATTGCCTTCGACCCGCACCAGACTGTTGCCTGCGGCTGCAACCCCAACCCGACCCGCCGATCTGACCGATCCACCACACCACTGCTGTACCCGCTGCCTTAGAACCACCTCTTGTTGCTGTTTGTTCGCACCGCCGCCGCACCAATGCACCATACACCTCCAGTTTGTCAGTCCAGAAAGGAAAAAAAATAAAAGCAAAGGAAGTGAAAGAAAAAGAAAAAGAAAAAGAAATTATTTTAGGCTGTTTGTTTTAGGCCCACACGGCCGAAGAAATAACATATGGTTAAGTTTGTTTTAGGCCCGCAGGAATTGTTGTGTTGGCTTGTTCGAGATTGTTTTGTGACTGTCACTCAAGTGTTTGAAATTGTAACCACTTGAGTGATGATGTTTGTATTTGTTTGTTCGTTGCTACAATTGAGATATGGAAATCTCGTTCGTTTAGTGACAGGTTATTTCTATACTTTCAACACTAGTCAGTCTGAATCAGAATCAGTTTGCCAGTCAAAATCAGCTTGCCAGCAAGAATCAGTTTGCCAATCCAGTCAAGTATAGTTCACCAACCAAGTCAAGTTCGCCAGTTAAGTCAAGTCAATTTTGCTAGTCAAGTTAAGCCAAGTCAATTTTGCTAGTCAAGTTAAGTCAAGTCAAGTTTGCATGCCTACCAGTCTGCATCTGCTTGTTTGCAAATCCATGTCGTATACTGCCATGAGTTTGATGGGGGTATTGGAAACTATTAGTATTTAGATTTACTTTAATGTTTGGTTTCTTGGGATTTAGCCCGTTAGCATTAGGGTTAGAGTTAGTTTATTATAAAGAGCGTGCTTGCTATTCGGTTGTGAATATGTTAGTCACGATGTAACCTTTTGAAGTTTTGTAGTCGTTTCAGAGAGTTTGTTTAATAATATTCTTATTACTTTGTAGTCTTGTTCGTCACGCACTCTGATATTCAACGTATCCTACACACAATGGCAATGCCTTCCTCGTGTTTTTATTTCGTAATTTTAAACTTACCCCTTTATTACTTAACTACACTTGCAACCTATGGCAATCTCCAATGCTTATTATTTCTCTCCAATGCACATAAATCAAATGTTTGGAGTTTAATTTAGATGGTTGTGACTGCAACTTTCCATTTCCTTTTTCTCTTCAGGCTGATCATTTGGGGTTTTAAGTTGAAGCCAATAAATAATAGGAGTTTTAACCAAAAGTTCACGGTACTGTTTACTTTAACGAAAAATCATATTTTTTACACTAAAAAGTCAATCTTGGTACTATTCACTTTACTCTTTATTTTGTCTTTATCATTAAAACTCAAAGTTTTCAAGCTCTTTTCATTAGTTTTCTATTAATAAATGGGTTTGAATTTGGGATGAAGTTGAAACGAGTTTATAATTTTTGAACGTGTGGTGCATTGGCGAAATCTTAAAATTTAAGTTTGTGCATTAGAGATGGGCTAGCGACTACCCGCCCAGAACTCGTGAAACATTAAACCACGGAGCACGTACAGTAAAGAACATTCAAACAACAGGCACACAGCACAAAAGCAAAGATTAATAGGAAACCACAAATTGAAGAACATTATAGCTAGTTCTACAGAATAATTGAAGGCAAAAGAAAATACCAATTTCCTTATATAATTAAATACTCATAGCAGAAAAGAAACTATGCAATTTTCATTTTCACCATTGACCTTGACAGAAAACTAAACATATATATTATGCAGTACTCTAAATGATGGTGTGGAAAATGAAACTAAAGGGTAAGAAATTAGTACTGGTTTTGTTTTTCTCTCATAATACTACTATGGATAACGCGGAACCGAGTGTGTGGAGAGGCTGGATCTTATAATTAGTTATTAATCACAGAATGGTGTATATATTGGGGGGTTCTTCATACGAAGGATAAGACATCACATATTGAGGGCAACCCATGGCGTACTGTAGCTGTGCAGGCTCGCTTTTATTCTCCTCCTTTTCCTCTTTCTCTTCCTCTTTCTTTTCCTCTTTCTTTTTTTCCTCCACAAGGCTCACACTCACCACCTCAGCATACTTCAAGCTTTTTCTTTTTCTAAGCGAAGTTGTGAGCAGAACCACATCAATCCCTTCCCCCATTACCTCCATTTGGTTCTTATCTTGCTGATAACTTGCTGAGTTTACACCTGCATTATTAATCTTTTATTAGTTATAACTTAGACCTAGAGCTGCCTAATTGGGATTAGAGTTAATTTCTGGAATTTGATTAAATTTATTGTAGAACACAGTTAAGAAGTAATTACCGTCGACCCCAACTGCAGTCTTCATAGCTTTGGTCCTGGCCCTTTCATCATGCACAGACAACTTGATCACCACCTTTTGCTGCAAACCAAAAACAGCGCTCAATTAGAATAAAACACAAATTTTGAATCAAATAATTTGCCTCTTCTGTTTCTAATGCATGTTCTTGCATGGACCTCAAATCTCAGACATACCTACGAACCGAACCTGCTTTGAGAGATTGATGGTGGAGAAGGAGAGGGGTGTGTATTAATATGTTGTCTTTGAAAATTTGGTGAAGAGTGTGAGAAGGGTTTTTGATATTTATAGGCCTCTTGGGAGTCTTCGGTGAGCCAAGTGCTTTTCTGATGAAAAATGAGAACTAGTGCGTGTTGGTCATGTTTTTTCTTTTGTTTTTTTGGTCGAAAATTTATCGATCACGTCATGATATAGAAATCGTCTCTATCCTAAATGTGAGATATTATTTTGTTTGCATTTGTTTTTCTTTATTTTGAAGAGTTTCATATAGTTTTATTTCCTCCCTTTAGTATGACTGCAAAAGGTCTGGAGCATGCACATTTGGACAATGCGCCTTTACGACGTTATTGCCAATTATTTACATTCATACACGGGCTATAGTTTTGACCAACATAATCTTAACAATGAAAACAAACACAAATAATTTACAAGTTAAAGTTTCGTAGTTTACTACTAACAATGCTATTGTCATTTGAGATAAAACTCACACATAAACATATCTATTGTAAATTTTCGTAATTAATTAGGACTATTATGTTGAAAATAATAATTATATCGAATAAGATTTAGTAACAACTCACACTATCATATTGCACAATACATAGTTACATAACCATTTTAATTTAATAATTTCTAATTATGAGCATGAGGCTTTTACATTTGGTCCTGGGATGTATTTTAGTTTATTGAGCTTCTTATTATTTTGGAGGCCAGTATTATGATGCGATGCATGAGGATTAAGGATCAACCTATCCGCCAGTAAAGAAGCATGACGTGCCTGGCTCCCTGGATGCCATCTAAGCAAATTATCAATAAGAATGCTGATTTTTCTTGGAAAAAGATACCCGCCGGATACCCTTTTTTTTAGGAATCTTAGAGATCCGACGATTGTGATCGTTCATCATACGTTATAAGATTAGTTTTCATTAGATACTATTTATATTTAATTTTAAATTTTAAATTTTAAAATAATTTAGAATTGCACAATAAAGAATAAACAATCATGATTACAAAATCCTTAAAATTTTTAGAAAAATGATTCGACAAGGATCATTTTCCGATTTTTGTTGGTATGCATGTCTAGCTGTTAGACTTACCGTCCGATCAACCCTCATCATGATGTGACGTTTAAAGTCAATCATCTCCTACAGTGTAAGTACACTGCTACATGGAAGTGTGCTTGTTTTTGTTGATCCACTGGTAAAATCCTCTCTCCGTTTTCTGATTTTCTTGCTTTGTCCCTCATGTTCTTGTTTTTCTATTTTTTTTCTTGTTTTTATCAAGGGTAAGCCAAGGGCAATTGCTGTTCCAGTTGTCATTTATTGCTTAGTAATGTTAATCTTATCACTTAAATATATATATATATATATATATATCACAATTTCGACACTTAGTACTACAGTCTAAGGATATTGCTCTTCACTTGTAAGTGAGATGTCTTATATTCGATTCTCGTTAAAGGCAAATTTGAACTACATTATTGCTAGTCTATTGTAAGACTAAACTTATCTCCTCCCTCTCATGTGCATAATATCATTTGTTTAAAAAAAAAAAAAAGTTCAATCAACACACTAAATTGGCTGCGGGAGATATGAAGAGAGAGTGGGATAAGGAAACATACATAAAAAATACAATCAATTTTATTTCAATTTAGGTTTTTAATTAAAAATATACTAAATTTAAAAATTCAATTAATGTGATATGACATGTCCAACTTATACACCGCCTAATGTGATATAAAATTATAGGAAGATAGCATTACTCTTTATCGTCATCTTGATTTGTAATTTAACTAATTATGAAAAAAATTACATGAGCCAGTAGACCTAAATAATTCATGCAGAGTAATGACTACTAAATGTATGCATGAGTGTGACTCTTATTAAGTGATTTTAGGCGCAAAACTGTGCACCTTGTGGCATCAAAATTTCCACCCTAACTCGTAACACATTAAACTTTGAAATATGTACAGTAATAACACTTAAACATAAGTCACATCACAACAGAGAGTTAAAGAGCAAATGTCAACTTTCCATATATATAATTATATACTCATAGAAGAAAATAAATTATGAAATTGTCACTATGCACACAATATATATAGCTTTATACACATAATTAAGTAACAATTATAGAATAGTGCAATTACTGGAGGTCTTGGCAGTGACAGATCTAGGATTTTAATATCGGGTGGTCTCAATTTAGAAGCTTTGAAAAAAATTAGACGAAAAACCTTGAAAAGTTAAATGATGAACTGCTAACTTTTCATTTACACGCTACATACTACAACTTAGGATCATTTCCAAAATGAACCACAAGGTTTCAATTTCAGCATTTTATACCTAAATGTTTTATTTTTAGTTTTTATGACTGGTTTAAAACGATGCAAGTGATGCAAGTGATGCATTGTTCTGGTGGTTAGAGTTTTCCTAGTCAACCATAGCGCCCTGGATTCAAACCTTCTTTCTTCTTTTATTGTAAAATAAACATAGAAATTGTCTTATGTAATTAGAAAAAGATGCAAACAAATGAAAATAATAAAAAATGAATAAAACAAAGAGAAGAACATACACACAAACAAGATGAAATTGATAGCAATTAAAAAATAGATCAAAAAAAAAAGAAAGAAAGGAAGAATGAGGAAGCGGTAGAGAACAAAATGATATAATTTCAACCAAAAAAAAAGAAAAGAAAGGCAAAGACGTAAAATAAAGTGACGTGGCTTAATTTTCTAAAAGCTAGAAAACGCCTTGGCCCAAAAACAAAAGGCCATAAAGCAAATACTTATTGAATGACGGAATGAAACGACACCGTATTGTAGGAAATTTTTTTTAATATGACCATCACACGAGGCGGTACACCACTTGTTCATATACAAATGATAGGATATGTGTGTTAAAAGGTTAATAACTTAAAACTTAAAATTTTCCACCACTTACATAAAAATACATGATGTACCGTGTTCCCTTCATAATTAAAAATTTCTCGTATTATAGAGCGTAAAAAGTTGAAAAAAGGTGTTTTTCTTCTTCCTCCTCCTCAGGCTGTCCTTTCTGGTTTTCTTTCCCCACGGCCTCTACCTCCAAATGCCCAGATTTAGGTGGTCCTCAATGGTCTTCACAGCCAACTATTCGGACTTTCGGATGGTCCTAGGATCACCTTGGTCCCTTAGTAGATCCGCCCTGGGGTCTTGGCATGGTGGATAGGCTGTCGCCATCTTAATTTGACTATAACCAGTTATGTTGAAAGGTATATGTCCTACACACAATGGCAATGCCTTGCTGGTGTCTTTATTTCGTAATTTTAAACTTACCCCTTTATTACTCTACTACACTTGCAACCTATGGCAATCTCCAATGCTTATTATTTCTCTCCAATGCACATAAGTCAAATGTTTGGAGTTTAATTTAGATGGTTGTGACTGCAACTTTCCTTTTCATTTTTCTCTTCGGGCTGATCATTTGGGGTTTTAAGTTGAAGCTAATTAATATATGGGTTTGAGTTTGGGTTGAAGTTAAAACGAGTTTTTAACTTTTGAATGTGTGGTGCATTGGCGAAATCTTAAAATATAAGTTTGTGCATTCGAGATGGACTAGCAAGTACCCGCCCGCAATTCGTGAAACATTAAACCATGGAGCATGTGCAGTAAAGAACATTCAAACAACAGGCACACAGCATAAAAGCAAAGATTAAGAGGAAACCACAAATTGAAGAACAGTACAGCTAGTTCTACAGAATAATTGAAGACAAAAGAAAATACCAATTTCCTTATATAATTAAATACTCATAGCAGAAAAGAAACCATGCAATTTTCATTTTCACCGTTGACCATGACAGAAATTTAAACATATATATTATGCAGTACTCTAAATGATGGTGTGGAAAATGAAACTAAAGGGTAAGAAATTATTACTGGTTTTGTTTTTCTCTCATAATACTATTATGGATAACGCGGAACCGAGTGTGTGGAGAGGCTGGAACTTATAATTAGTTATTAATCACAGAATGGTGCATATATTGGGGGGTTCTTCATACGAAGGATAAGTCACCACATATTGAGGGTAACCCATGAAATACTGTAGCTCTGCAGGCTCGCTCTTCTTCTCCTCTTTCTTTTCCTCTTTCTTTTCCTCTTTCTTTTTTTCCTCCACAGGGCTCACACTCACCACCTCAGCATACTTCAAGCTTTTTCTTTTTCTAAGCGAAGTTGTGAGCAGAACCACATCAATCCCTTCCCCCATTACCTCCATTTGGTTCTTATCTTGCTGATAACTTGCTGAGTTTACGCCTGCATTAATTATTAATCTTTTATTAGTTATAACTTAGACCTAGAGCTGCTTGATTGGGATTAGAGTTAATTTCTGGAATTTGATTAAATTTATTGTAGAACACAGTTAAGAATTAAATTACCATCGACCCCAACTGCAGTCTTCATAGCTTTGGCCCTGGCCCTTTCATCATTCACAGACAACTTGATCACCACCTTTTGCTGCAAACCAAAAGCAGCGCTCAATTAGCATATAACACAAATTTTGAATCAAATAATTTGCCTTTTCTGTTTCCAATGCATGTTCTTGCATGGACCTCAAATCTCAGACATACCTTCATGACCCTGGTTCTTGATTAACGACGACAAAGACGAACCGAAGGTCTTCGACCGGCTTTGAGAGATTGATGGTGGAGAAGGAGAGGGGTGTGTATTAATATGTTGTGTTTGAAAATTTGGTGGAGTGTGAGAAGGGTTTTTGATATTTATAGGCGTCTTGGGAGTCTTCGGTGGGCCAAGTGCTTTTCTGATGAAAAATGAGAACTAGTGCCTCTTGGTCATGTTTTTTCCATTTTTTTTTTTGTCGAAAACTTATCGACCACGTCATGATATAGAAATCGTCTCTATCCTAAATGTGAGATATTATTTTGTTTGCATTTGTTTTTCTTTATTTTGAAGAGGGTTATATAGTTTTATTTCCCTTTAGTATGACTGCAACAGGTTTGGAGCATGCGTACTTGGATAGTGCGCCTTTACGACGTTATTGCCAATTATTTACATTCTTACATGGGCTATTGTTTTGACCAACATAATCTTAACAATGAAAACAAACACAAATACTTTACAAGTTAAAGTTTCGTAGTTTACTATTAACAATGTTATTATCATTTGAGATAAAACTCACACACAAACATATCTATTGTAAATTTTCATAATTAATTAAGACTATTATGTTGAAAATAATAACCATATCGAATAAGATTTAGTAACGACTCACACTATCATGTTGCACAATACATAATTACATAACCATTTTATTTTCCTATTCACCTTCAAGTTATTTATATTAGTAGCTTTCACATATGCATACCATGTGCTTTGGAGGAAATTATTGTGGTAGAGAGAAGCAAAAAGTGGGAGAAAGAAAGTGACTGAAAATTTTAAATAAAGGTTTTCTTGATGTTTAGTGCGTAAGTGACCATTTTATATAATTGCTGTGGTCCCTTTAAATTTAAATGGTAATCAACGTTTATGGACTTTTGATGAAGTCAGTCACCCAAATGAAGGACTTGACTTGTCAATATATGACTAATAATTCATGTGATGTATATATGCATACAATACCATTTATGAATTTCTAAACACAGTTGTCACTTCATTTTCTATTGAAAAATCTGCATCAAGGGCCTTCGTTCTAAGAACTCATCACATCTATAGAAAACTATCTAGCTGTTACTTATCACCTAAGTAACTCAACGTGGTTTACTCATGCCCATGAATTGGGAAAGTTCATGGGTACATCTTTGCCCAAACCTTCTGCGAGGCGAATATTACATATATAATTGTCATCAAAAGTGCTTGTAAAACATGATTCCATCACATGATTAGTCCTATATAATATGCCCAATTATTATTATTATTTTTTTCAAATGCAGAAAGATTAGACGAGATCTCTTCGACAATGGTTATGTGCGAGGAACCTATCCTCCCTCGAAAGGGTGAGGATCATTACACTCAAAATCCCCTGCCCAATAGATGCAAATGTAAGCTAGATATGACATTGAAATGGGTGTTGACGCCTAGTTATTGTGAGAAAAACTTGTGATGACTGAGATATAGATAGAGTTTGCGTAAAGTTTCATATCAATTTTCTCAATGACGTTACGTATATAAAAAGATACACACACATGTAACATTTGTGGTTCTAGGTAGGTACAGTGGCCAGTGGGGGAAGACTCAGTCTTGTTAATTCGCAAGGATATTATCTATATAGATAGAAGTTCGAAAGTCTCGCTCACTGATTTATGTAATAGATATAGGAAATAAACCAACCAATGGTTTGTGATGGACTAAGAAACTGCAACCACAAATTGAAAATTATATCAGAGTCAATTCAATACCGCTGCATACTCATTGGTTTCAATTTAATTATCATATTTCTCTTACAAATTAAATTTAGACAAGTGCAATTCCTTGTATTATATTTCTTAATCGCCTTTCTAAATACAATTTGTTTACACAGATGAAATGAAACTAACATGATATTTGATTCCATTTAACCTTATTATTTAGAAGAAGTAGAAGTTATGACACAACTTTTTATGGTGAACGTACGGAATGATTATTGCTCAATATCTTATTAAAATGTTAGGTTTTTCTCATGCATTTCGGTACAAGATTTTTTTTTTTAAATTAATGTAATAATTTTGAACTGTCCCTAAAATTAGAATGAGAAAATATGGATCATGTTCAGACCTGTCTAATAAAAGGACGCAAAACTAGTTTCAACGCGGTTTCGGGATTAATTGTGGTTAATGAGTAATGAATAATAAGCTCAAGTTGAGAGGCTGCTCAACTAAATTTGGAATGGGAAAGTGATGTAATGGTTAATGATGCAGGTCAATATGATTCATGGTCATGGACTAACACGGCTTATACATTCACACTTACCTTCCAATTTCTAGAGAGAGAATTTGAAAAGTAAAGTGTGAATTATTGACTCTAGAATAAAAGAATTTTCCAGACAGCACTAATTATTTATGGCTGCACACATTTCGTTTTACTTTCCGTATACATTTCTCAATTTCAGTTGTCTATTTAAATGCATTAAGGATGATTAAAAGATAAAAATTAATAAGAGTATGTGAAAGATAAAATGAAGTATATGAGTAACACCTCCTATTATCCATCATCAATTGTCAAATAGTGAAATTATTTTTGATGTTCATCTCTATATATAAAGAGAACAAACCAAAGTAGTGAAACATACGAATATATCTAATGCCCCTCCTTGCAACATTTGAATAAGACAACTTAATCAAGAACACACCAAAGTAGTGAAACATACGAATATTTCTAATGCCCCTCCTTGCAACATTTGAATAAGACAACTTAATCAAGAAGGGACGTTAAAATTTTTGAAATGAAAAGAATTCATAATAAACCACTCCACATAGAGAAGTGGTTACTGACTTATTTTTCAAAAAGTTAAAAAATCATTATAAACAAGAATAAAATATAAAAGAATTAATTGCCACACATGTTAGCACATGGTAAGGGGCTAGTGAAAGATAAAGCCACCACCTTAATTAGCCCAAATTTGAACTCATTGTACGTTGTCTACTAACTCGTGGTTTACCTCACTCAATTTGTCATTTTCCACTGACTATGTGCCTAAAGGAAACTACATAACTACTCTTCTAAGGTCCTCATATTGAGGACCTGTGTGATCCTTTTCAAATGAGCCCTCAGATTAATCTTATGGTAGATTGAGTTATCAACTTAAATAATCACAGTTACACCAAAACACAATAATTTTGTGAAATGATTAAATAAAAAATAATTTCTCACATGAAACCTTCTGTCTTCCTCCACATCATCTTCCTTTCTTCCTCTCTCTATCAATCATTCACTCCCCTTCTCATCTTCTGAATTTTTTTTTTCTTTTCGTGTATGAAAAAGAGAGAGGGACCTATTTCAAAATTTTCACCATCGTCGGAAAATTTCATTTGAACAAAGGTTCATGAGTTCAATAAGAAGAGGATCCTAATTTTCAAAATCACACAATGTCAAATTTTTTTTGAGTGCCTTGTAATTAATTGGTTTGAATATTATTGGATAAAAGATTGGATGAAATTGGACGTGTAAAGTTATTAAGGTTTTTTACAGTGAAAATGACCTTAAAAAAGCAATAGACAAGGAAACTACTGTTGTGGCATATATTTAACTGAGGGGTGAGGCATGGAGAGAAAGAGAGTGGAGAATATGCTTGAGGAATTGTGTGTTAATTCCCTAGTCCTTGTGCCTTTATTTATAGTAATAAGGAGGGGAGAAACTTGCTTTCCAATTAATGCAAAGTCAATTAGAAAAGATCTTCTAGATCCCAAAGGATTCCTAGTCTATCTCTACTTAGGATTTACACAATCACAATATGTATTAGAACATATATCACAACACTCCCCCTTGAGTGTGCAAATACTCAAGTAGATGGCACATCAGATCTTCAGGCAAATGTAGAAGCAGTTGATGAAGTCGTCTTGTCTAGTCAGCACAAGTAACAAATGCTAGTCTCAAAACAAACAGAAGAATGCATGGGTAGTAAAACTCACAAAACCTCGCTATGACAAAACCCAATATGGGACAAAAGCCCATAGTCAAAGGAGAAAAATGAGAAGTTGCATTAAGTAAAAACTATACGTCTTCGGGACGCAAGTAAAATGCACACAAAGGTATAACCAACCTAGATTGCGTGATGAATATTGTGAATAGATCTATAGAAATTCTTTCTTCAATTTCGGCTTTTATCTTCAAGCTTGTATCACGTTCAACATCAGAAAAAAAAATTGAATAAATAAAAGCATATGAATTCAATAAATCAAAATTTAATCAATTAAAAATAATTGAAATGTAATACTTCCCTAATTGAAGACGAATAAATTCTCTTTGGTACAACATGCAAAGTGCGCTAATAATGTGTTATGACATATATTTAACTGAGGGGTGCAGCATGGAGAGAAAGAGAGTGGAGAATAGGCTTGAGGAATTGTGTGTTAATTCCGCAGTCCTTATACCTTTATTTATAGTAATAAAGAGGAGAGAAATTGGCTCTCCAAGTAATACAAAGTCTATTAGGAAATATCTTCTAGATCCCAAAGGATTCCTAGTCTATCTCTACTTAGGATTTACATAATCACAATATATATTAGAACATATGTCACAACAACTACAACCTTTTGTTTATTTTCATTTTTGTTGTTGATAGCAATGCAGCATTTTTCCTATTATCATTAACATTTCTTTTGTTTTTTTTTTTAGGTCAAACTAAAATACTTCCATTATATAAAAAGGCAAGAACAAGGAAAAGACAGCTTACCATTTAAATATAAGCGCAATAGCAACAAGAAAATACATTAGCTATGCCCAAAAGTAGCCAGCTGAACAACAACAAGAAAACCTAAGACTGGAATAGAAACTAGCAACCACTAGATGCGCCTCCATCACAAAGCCACCACTAGCACCAAGAGAACAAACCAACACAACAACAGGATCAACGAAAAATAAGGGTGACCGATACACTCACGCAGTGAGCTCTCCCATAATCCTACTCAAAGAGGTGCTTAATCAGTTGTGCATTGTGATGAACTATTGACCTAGTTCACTCGTTAAAAGGACAATATTGTTTTGTGAAATCATATCAAATGACCACACATCATATCTCATTTAAGGGTTTAGCTAGCCTTCATGCACGCGCTCACCAGCTTGCAGAAGACATTTTTTTGAATCACGGCATGCTACATGTGACTAACATGTTTTAAATGTATTTATATGCGTGAATTTATAAAAGAAAAGTCAAATATTTGAAGTAGATGAATAATCTTGGATCATGCTAGAAAAAGCCTCACAAGCCAATCAAAGTAGATAAATTCACATAATAAAATCGGTCTTTCAATTTCCATCTACATTCTATTGAATTTACATTAAGAATAGAGAAAGTACTATTTAATAAACAACTGATTGAATCACATTATTGCTAGTCTATTGTGAGGCTAAGCCCACCCCTTCCTCCTTAGTACGGATAATATCGTTTGTTCAAAAAAAAAAAAATCATTTGACAACTAATTTAATCACATTATTATGCGCGTGCGAAAGACCTTTTATATAATCGGCATTACATGCTTCTTAAGATGCTTTGAACGTGTTTAAAAATAAAGAAAATAATATTTAATGAACAACTGATTGAATCACATGCTAGTCTATTGTGAGGTACTAATTTAAAAAAAAAACTGTACAAAAAAATTAATTATTCAAAAAACACTATTAAAAAGATGAAAATACCCTTGCTGTATTTGGTGCATTATTTTGGGTTGCTTTTTAAATTTTTTGTTTTGGGGGCATTTTTGTCTAAATTTTTTTTATGAAACTTATGACCTTAAAAGGAGTTGTTGCCTTTATATATAAAGATAAAATCGGACGATAAAAAATCAACTACTTTAATTCCCAACTTGATTGAAGTTGTCTGCTCAGTTGGAATTTGAAATTGCAAGTGGCCTTTTATTATAGTGGTGGAGATGAGTGTTGATCTTACACCACAACTTAGGTTCGAATCCGGTCGGCTCCCTAATCTAACATCTAATTAAACAAATCTATCATTTGTTAAAAAAAAAAAAAAAAAAAAAAAAAAAAGGAATTTGGAATTATTGAAGTTTCTAATCCTCACTTATTCAGTCCCTTAGTATTATGATCTAGTTGTATTCTTCTTTTCACCTAACTCTTTTTTAGTGTATATAATATTATTTGCTCATGAAAAAAAAAAAATCCTATTCAAAATTTCATTATTTATCTGAAATAACAAAAACCAAGGAAGGCAAAAATCAATATACAAATGGACAAACCAGCTCCTAGTTAATTATAAAATTAAAGAAAAAGGAAAAACAGAAAAGAGGAATGAATGTGTCAAGTTATTTTAAAATTCACAACCAACGAGGAGAAGATCATCGGCAAATACTTTATGGTATATTTACAAAACTTTGTAGTTAATTCGAACGGTTCATTTTTTAAATTACCTTGTAAAGATCATTTTGCAAGAAGTTAATTAAAACTCAGGTCGTTTTTGGTTAAACACAAATAGATAGACGGATTGTAAGACTTTTATCATCTATTTTTTATATATCTCGACGACTAAAAATTTTAGCTTTAATATGCATTTCAACTATAAATACAAAATTATGTGAATAAATATTTTGAGGAGTCCTCCTCCATCATTGAAAAGCCAAAATTTCTCTTCATTCCGATAACCAATAGGATTAATTCATTCAATATGAAGAAAAGTAAGCATATGAATATCTAATATGAAAGCAGACAAGTCCTAACAACGTCACACTCTTTGTTATACTATATATTATGATTATGAAAGCTCATGTAGGACTTGATGTAATCAAGTCATCTTCTGATGATGCATCTATAGAGTTCCGCACACATTTTTCCTCCTTAAAAAAAAAAAAAAAAAAAAAAAAAAAAAAATTCTAAACCCATTTAAAATTTAAACTAACGATAAGTAAATTCGGTTAATTATATATGCCAATGACTTAATGGACGGTAGGTCAATCTCTTCCGCCACGTTAAGAAAACTTCGGCCGTGTGAGAGATTAATTAATCAGTAAACATCACATTTTTCATTACATTGTTACTAATGTATCAAAATACACAATCTTCATCATTTTCTCATGAAACTTCATTTTTTTTTTCTCACAAAAATACATGACATAGCAAGGGGTGCAGTCCTGTTAGAGTAGTTCCACCTCTAACACAAATGCGCTAGCACCTAGCGCATTTATCCACTCAGTGAATAGTAATAGGCCAAATGCATCTCCACCTCTAAAACTAAATAGCCTAGTCAATTTTATTAAAATATTATTAATTTTTATTATAAAATAATAATTTGACTTTTATTTTCTGACTTTTTAATAAAATAAAATAATAATATTATTATTAAAATACGCACGACGAGCGAACCAAATTGTTATCCTCATCGTCCTCCTCCAATAAAACCAGAAGAGAGAGAGCGAGAGTAAGAGTGAGAGTGAGCTGAGAGTTTGTGCTGCAGGTTGAGCAACTGAGCTTTGGGGTTTAATTTCTGCATCTCCACCCATGGACTTCCCTTCCATTCCCACTGTCGCCTCCAAACCTCCACACCTCCTGTCCTTCAAATATTTTTAATTTCTGCATCTCCAAACCTCTTCATCGTCCACTTCGTCCTCCCGTCCTTCTCCCTCTGTGGCTCCTTCCCTCTCAACACCCTCTCCCGCCTTGACCAGCTTCGCTCCTCAGCCTCCACAACCACTCCTTCTCAAGGAAAAAGAAGTTGGAAATAAAAACTGCAAATTAATAATTGTTTCTACTTCCTTTTGGGGTCATCTATGGACAATGATATGTTTAGGCCAGTCGGGCAGGTTGAATTAGTAGAAATTTTGGCTCAAGTGTGAACCTATTGAATATACTTCCTCAAGACTTTATTTTTGTCATATTTCTCAAGCTTAAGACTAGTCGCTTTTAAAAAAGTTCTTTTAGAATCAACTTTTGATAAAAATGTAAGTAAATTTTAGAAAAATACTTAAAGTACTTTCTCCAAAAAACACCAATTCTTGTAGGAAACACTTCCAAGTGTTTTTGAATCACTACTGTTAATTGATGGTGTCATTAATGTTTGGTAATGGTGTGAAAAAATAATGAAGCTGATTTTCACTAACACGTCATTTATAGAGTTTTGAATCACCAAATGGAGCCCTATTAGTCAAGTTAAACACTAACACTGTCTAGTTATAAGGGATCAAAGATTTAAAGATCTATAAACGACACAGAAGCAATGAACCGCTTCAATACTTGTCTAGGTTTTCACTTAATGCTAGTTATCTAACGAGTGTTCATTTTTCCAAAAAGCTACGTAATTTGAAAATTTTTAAATGATTGAGGTCAGCTAACGTAACCTTTAAATGTTGGATAGTTGTTCGTACTTAACCCTAAAATAAAATTAAAAAATTATGAAATATTTATAAAGATGGGCTAAAATTTAAAATTTAAATGATGGCAAAGTCGTGAGATTAGTTTGTTTTGCCGTATAAGCTCAACCCAGAGACCAGGGCCCGATTTCACATTCTCTTAACCGTTTTTACCTGGACTACTTACACATATCCAGCTGCCCCAAAATCTTGTCTGTACCAAATACAATGCTGCATTCTTTAAAATCTAATGCAGGAAACACGAAACATGACATCTCAACCATTAAAAAATTATTACCAAACACCACACAGTAGCACCGTTCATAAAAGAGCAAATGTATCTAATGGACTAAAGCAGCGAGCGTCCAATATCCGGCCAGCAGCGAAAAATTGCACACAAACTGCAAAATTAAACACGAGATCGCTGGGGTCAGTGAAGCAGTGCAAGAAAAACGGAAACCAAAAAGCAATTTTACGGAAACCAAAAAGCAATTTTACTTGTCCTATAGTATTATAAGGCATTTAAAAATAATTCAATTGCAACAAATCTTAGTTTCAATTGGACAATCATTTCATCCTGTTCACTGTGTTTATGCTTAATCTAAGTACATCGAAGAGTACAGTGATATTGTCACGCCTTATGGAATTGATTCTAGGCTCATATTGGCTATTAAATGCTATTAATTCTAAAATTCTACAGTTACAGCTGATAATCATCAAGAAATTAAATTAATTTTGGATAATACTTGTGTTCTCTCGTGAAAATGCACATACTCCACTTCTTTTGAATAAAGTATATTTACCATACAGATTTTATAATCAAAACCATTTTAACTTTTTAGTTTTCATTTAAAGATTATACTTACAAAATATTATCCAAATCATCATCCAAAAGCATGAACACCATATGATCCATTAAGATGACTAAATGACCTTTTGTTCGAATAATGATTAAAAAATTGGATGATGTTATAAACTTCTTATTTAAGTGTGATTGTGTAAATTTTATATTAGATTTGATTATAGCTATTCTTCCTATTAAGACTTGTATTCCTTGGAGGAGAAGGATTTCTTCTCCCTATTATTACTATAAATAAGGGCATCCTCTACATAACCCTACAAATACATCTCTCTCTATATTTTCTCTGTGCCGCCGGCCCTCTCTCCTGTCAGTTGAATATAGGCCACAATAGATAATTTCAATTCTGAAGTTTATTTAAAAAAAAAAAAAAAGATACTTTATTAAAAGTGGGATACGTGCATTCCCAATGGGGAAACTCAAGTATTATTCTTAAAAATTTGTCCTAAAAAATACAGAAAGAAAACAACAAACAATACCCAATTCATGTCGAATATGAAAATCAAAACATAAGGAGCATTATAAGAAAACTTGGGTAATTGACAATGGTCACTAATATCAGTTGTGCAAAAGGAGTTCGACAAAAAACATATCAGGAGCTAATAAGTTAATAACCCATCATAGCTAATAGAATATGGAACGGGTATAGTACGTGAGGTACTTTTGTAAATCAATTGCAATTGAAAGTTAGTAAGGGTAGTAAAAGAAGGACAGCATGCACATACCAGCCTCTAAGGACTGAGTAGCAGCCGATGTCTTCATTAACTTGGCGTGAAGGCGGGGTCGGGGCAGCTGGAGGGTCATCATCGTCTTGGCAGGAAGGGGGTAAGGGTGGGCTTGGGGCAGCCGGAGGTTCATAATCGTCTAGGCGGGGAGAGGGTGTGGGGCTTGGGGGAGCTGGAGGACAAAGGTAACCCTGATAGCCAGGTGGTGAAGGGCCATCACTTACAATGCTGGTTGTGGGATTACAAACAGAAAGTTCAGAACTTGTTTGATTCAGAGAAAATTTGAAGGTGTAACATGTTTTTTTATTCGGACGAAACATTTTGTTGCTCTGGATGCCGCCAGCCCTCTTACTGTGGTAACCAGGGTAGTCTGACTTGTTGAACCACACTTTCTCTTTCAAAAACAGGCCTGCTTTCTCAGCAAGCTCCTTCAACTTCCATTGATCATACGGGTAGCCTACCATGTGTGAAACATGAATTTCACCACCTTTGCTAAGCATCCCGCGGGCGCTTTTGAAGAAGGCCTTTGACAAATGCCTGTGCAATCTAGCTCCATTGAAGCTCCATATTAATCACTTATGACAAAGTAATTCAGTAACTAATAGTTATAATACCATATGAGAATTGATAATATGGGTAGAGAGAGCCTCAAGAATCTGCATTTTGCTATATAACTGGTCCTGCATCCTGACCATTGCATAAACAAAACTGATTGTGTGAAAAAAAAAAAAAAAAAAAACACAAAATTGATTAACCATGCAAGACTTCACTAAAGGATTAAGCAGTCGAGAATAACATAAAAGGTTTGTCCTTGAATCCTGCAACAGGTTTGAGGGTTGAATTCTCATTCAATACATACAACAAATACATAAAAGGAAGGCTAATCTAAATGATTTGGGAATCAATAAGAGATCACGAAATATCTCCACAAATCAGGAATTACATAATTATTGTCTATCATTCACAAAGTAATGATAAGTAACTGGTCATTGCTCAGATGAATACTTGTGACAACGGTGAAATTAATTAAATTTAACATCCATCAAAAGATTGGGTTAATTACATTAACACCTCCTAAGGTTTTTTGAGTTTTCACAAAACCCCCTTAGGTTTGAAACATTACACTAACACCCCTTAAAGTTTTAATTCACTTTCACAAATACCCCTTCAGTTGATAATATGACTATAAAAAGACAAATATACCCTTTTCATTAATTACTTAAAAAAATAATAACTTTATAAATAAATAAAAAGAATATCAAATTATATATCAAACACGCCATTGACTCGCATCAATGCCAAACCAGTCATTTTCAAAATCAAACGCAGCGCCATTACCGTTTTCAGACTTTGTACTTAAATACAAGTATCTGGCTGTCCGTACTCCCACCTTTGATGACAATCCAACACCGTTTAGTACCAAAATTTCTTGAATTTGTGCGAAAACGAGAAAGTAGCATATTGTGAGAGCTAGTGCAATGGTGACTGAGGCGAAGATTAAGAGGCTCGATCTGGGGTTATGCTTGGAGGTGCAGGAGAAGAGATGAATAATTAACCGAGTCCACATTGTTGTCGTAGTAGTTGGCAGGCTTTGAAGTGACCCGTTTGCTGATATTCAATAGTTGAATGAAAAATCGAGAGTCATAGGAATTTTTGCACGCAATTTGACAAAAACAATGATCTTGTAGTAAAGGTTTCAAAATGGAACGCAATGAATAATTAAATTCAAATGTGAAAGTGTAAAAATATAAAAATGAAGGTGTGTTTGATCGGAGACGGAGAGGAAGTGATCAAACTTTCTCCCTCTTGATCTCCCTGTGTGTGTTGCAGATGATACCTGAGAAAAGTGAATCAACTCTTGGTTTTCCTATAGAGGCAGGTTCCTAGTCCTCCTCAATCCCTCATAGCAAGGAAGGTTTTCCAATTAATTTTTTTTAATGTTTTTGTATAACTTTTAATTTGATTTGATTTTTTTATTTATTTATAAAAGTTTTTTATTTTGTTAAGTAATTAATTATAGGGTAAATTTATCTTTTTATAGTTAGATTTTCGACCAAGGGGTATTTGTGAAAGTGAATTAAAACCTGAAAGGGTGTTTGTGTAATGTTCCAAACTTGAGAGGGTTTTGTGAAAACTCAAAAAACGGATTTAGTGTAATTAACCCCTAAAATATTTACTAATTACGTCTTTATATATTTGTTATAAACACTCCAAATACTCATTCCTTCACTTTTCTTTCACTAATGTGAAGTACGTGACAACTATTTTAGAGTGCCAATAACAACTATCTCTCCACTAATATTAATAGGACCCTAATATTTCATCAATCAGTACAGCGCCAAGTTCATACATAGGCATCAGTGGAAAGCATGTTGGAACAAAGCATGGTGCAAAAGATCAGGGAAAATATTGTCACTTACTCTATGAGCTCCTCGTCTTTTTCGCACAGCCGATGGTAATGTCCTGCGTGAGGAAAGTTGAATATGATAACATCAAATTTCATGGACTTAAGTGTGGGATGACGGTCCATGACATATACATTGACTTCATACAACACCAAGCACCCTCTTTTTTTCAACTCCTCCAAATGCTCCTCACAGCTCCTATGCTCTGTCAACAAAGTGTCTGAAAGTTTTCAAGAAAATTTATTAATTCATGTAAAACAAATTCAAAAAAGATCAAGATAATGATTTTCTGTTTGTAAACATCCATGGAGTCTATATTACCTTGGGATTTGAGAGTCGTAGCAACCATGTTCGTGGCAGAGCGAAATGCTTTAGCCAAACAGGCAGAAAATGAGAAGTCTCCCTCACCAACCAAGAGTATTTTCTGCGAGCTAGAGTAGTGTCCTATCCGTCTCTGTTTTTTTTTACCCATTCTTGATTTCTGCTCTAAGTTCCTTTAAAAATTATAAGTATTCTCTTTGAACTATTTCACTATATATATATATATATATATATATATATATATAGACAGCTGGTGGCTTCGGGAAAATGTGGTCTTTTGGGAAGTTGTAGCGTATTTTAATTATGGGCTTCGGGAGGTTCCGGAGTTGAACTACGACCTCAAACTCGTCCAAAAAGACGTAGCATGGACGGAAACATCGTTTGGTTCACTGCAAAACTAGCCGGAAAAAGATCCGTTAAAAACTCGTTCGAAACACACTAAAACGAAGTGGATACTCACCTGCAAGTGGTATAGAAGTTACTTGTGTTGACGGGAAGCCGATTCGTGGCAACCCAGAGGCAAGTAGCCGTCGAGATCGTCGGGAAAACCGTCGGATACCTTTGGATTTCGAACCGAGCTCGGCTCTCGGATTCTCTGGTTTTCCAGAGAAACAGAGCTCAGTTGAGTTCAGGCGGTGAAGGGGTGGAGATGTGGTGATTGAGGGATGTTGGTTCGTCGGAGAGACGGCTATTCTCTGCGTTGCAGAGAGAAGAGAGAGATAACGGGGAGAGAGGCGACGAGAGGGAGGAGAGAGAAGGGACACGGAGAGACAAGCTTCTAGTTGAGGGAGAGAAGGCATGAAGCCTTTTGATTGGATGAGTGTGACCTTACCCCAAAGAGTGAAGGAAGATAGATTCGCTTCCTCCGGAAATTTTTAGTTGTAATGGGAATATAAATTGTACATTATTTATTTTAATAAGAATAGTGAAAATATTTATTTTTTAAGTTATTAACCTTTTAGTACACATATCTCATTATTTATATAGTAACATATCATCCTGTATACCGGTTACATTGAAAAATCTGTCCTCTTCCCTCATAATCTATTTCCTCTCTTATCCTCTCATATTTAAACAGTTACGATTACACCATATATCCATTTTGTTTTAAGTTTTTAATAAAGAATTATTTTTGACATTTCAAATTTCTCATTTTGCATTTAAAATTTTTTATATTTAAAAAAATATATAGATAAAATGTAAAATAAAATTTTTAAAATGCTAATAATATTTTTCTTTTAATATGTAAAATAAAGCAAAGAGAAGAGCGTGAGAATAGATGATAGATAGAAATGGTAAAAAGTATCAAGAGAATCCTAAAACTTTGTTTCGAAGAAAACAATCCCACAAACAACAAAACCCATAAATCACATATTTCTTTGTCAGCACTACCAACCGACAGTCAGATTGAAAACTATGTAGGCAATGACATCACACCCAGACGTGATCATGAGATTGCAAACATTTCCCACTTTGAATTACGAAAGACCATTCCTTGCGGAGAGGAGGAAAACCAGAGTTTTGTTAATCATATCATCTCAAACTTTTTGTTAAAATTTAAAATTTAAAATATTTAAATTTTAAAACAAAACTATACTTTTACTCTAATACTTCCGACCTAACATTTTAGTTTGAAATTACTAAAAAAAGAATTTGGACTATATTTTTCTTGTTCAAAATAAAATACATGTAAATATCCTAATTTATTTTTATGAACATTTTAACATAAAAATATCTAGATTTTAAGAAAAGTTGAAAATTCACTAAACAGATCCTATGAAACATGTATTTATAGAATTCTTGGATGAATTTTTATTTAAATATTTTTTTAATTGTTTTAATTGTTAGATTTAATTTTGAGTCGATAGATTATTTTTTTTTATTAAATTTGATCATATTCAATTTTAACTGTTAGATTTAATGTATTTAAAATTTTAAAATTACCCAAATTTTCTGTTTTAACTCAGAACTCATTTTTAAACCCAACCATCAAGGAAAATTTGAGTTAGTTTAAAATCTAACCTTTGTCTGGTTCGTCTTTTAACCTTGACCTTAATTTTGGGTTAAATTTATCCAAATTTTATATTTTAATTCAAATTTATTTTAGACCCAATCATTAGTTTAAAAGTAATTTAAAACCTAAAGTTTTACATTTTAATTTAAGGGTCGAAGATAGTCTTAAGAAAATCAGAACACACCAAAAGCAAAAGAAAAAAGAAAAGCGAAAGCAAAAGAAAAAGAAAACGATAAAAAGGAGGCATCATTGTGTTCATCGTCTTCATGCCTACCAGCGGATGTATTTGCAGCTTGCTTCAAGGATTGGAAAAAGGATTCTTTTTCTGGGATTCGAGCATCTTGTAATCGTGTCCGTTTATCGTATATTGTAGGGTCAATTTTCATTAAGTACTATTTATATTTAATTATAAATTTTAAATAATTCTTTATCGCATAATGTAAAATGAACGGATATGATTACGAGATCCCCTGGATTCCCAGGAATAAGATCCGGCGAGGATCCTTTTCCCAAGGATTATAGTTAGTAGACTGACCTATGTAAGAAGAGTAAACCTAGGTAGAATAAATAGAATCTTAACGAAACACTTCTGGTACTGTTTATTTTTAACGGAAGATATTTTTACCTTGAAAAGCCAATTTTGATACTATTCACTTACACCTTTATTTTGTCGTTTTCATTAAAACTAAAGTTTTTGAGGACTTTTCATTAGTTTTCCTTATAATAAATTGGTAGATTATATTGTACAATCTAAATGATGTGTCACAAATAAAAAATAAGCACGTTAATCAACATTTAAGTAATAATCTAATCATTAACTCCATATCATTTACTTTATAAAATTTAGCCTACACTATTAATCTCACTAGCATTAACCATATAAGAAACATCGGAAGGAGAGGAAAGGAACATCCAAAAACCAAGAGAGAAAAGGAGAAGACTAAGCACATTTTTAGTCAGAGAGAACCCACGGTTATACAAAAAAATCCTCCCCAGTCATTTCCCTCCCTCTAATTACAGTTCATATCATGAGAAATTGCTAATGCTCAAGGACGTAAGCATAATTTGTCGAACTTTGTTAAATTTCATGTCTTATTTACTTTACAAACTGCATACATATTTCGTATAACCTGTGAAAAATCTGTTCCAACATTTACCAATTTGTTATCGAACTTCAAACAAGCATAAAACTTCGTTCAAGTTCGATTTGGGTCCAGTTTGCGCTCACGCGTACATGTTGTCGAGCACTATTCAAATATAGTAAGAATTGAGACAAATTATAAACTGAGTTCAAATGTCCACTTAGGATTTCAAATTAACCCAATATGGGAGTTTTTTTTTGTCATTTTACAATTTTAAAAAAAGAAATTACAACAATTTAGGGACGGGTTGTTACACTCTATCCCGCTTAAGAAAAATTCGTCTCCAAAATTTCTCCATTACGAAAGAATACAATCAAAAGAACAAACATGGACTGGGAGCTCAACTCGCTTCTAGTCTTTCATTGTTACCTCATCCTAAGTCAGATGCTGGTTAATCTCCAAAGGCTGGGGTTGGATCACATGTTAGGTTAGAGACATATCTACGTAGTATTTTAAAAGTAGTGAATCCTGAAAATGAATTGTTTAGAAGTTATTTTAAAATGAATGAGCGCGCTTTTAAAGTGAGTGCTTTTAGAACTACTTCTTAATAAAAAAAATGTAATGAATCCTGGAAAAGCCCTTACAGTACTTTCTCTAACGCATAATTGGTGCTTTTTGCGGAAAACACTTCAAGTACTTTTGAAATAAATAAAAAACATTTTCACTAAAAATGCTTCAGTCATTTTAAATGCATTTCTATACCAACCCTTAATTAAAATGAAATTCCCAAGCGACTAATTCGTTTCCCTTCATAGTAAGGAAGTTGTACGACTCTTAGAAAATCCAACTTAAGTGGTGGAGAGATTTTTCAATAAGAAAAACTAATGAAAATGACTTAAAAACTTTGAGTTTTAACGATAAAGATAAAATAAAGGGTAAAGTGAATAGTACCAAGATTGACTTTTTAGTGTAAAAATGTGGTTTTTCGTTAAAGTGAACAGTACCATTAATTTTTCGTTAAAGTTCCCTTTTTAATATGCCAAGAACACATCCCATTATACTAAATGTAATAATATAATTAGTTGGAAACTTGAAGAAAAAAATTCAACCAACATATTATGACACTTGATATAGCGTGCTCCTGTCACCCTAAAAAAATTTCTCTGGGTGGTGGATATTGATAGGTTTTCCTATCCAACCTAGTACGTTTCATAGTCTAAATCCTAGATTCTTCTTAGTAATTTCTTCAGTACTAAGAATCTACACACCTGATAAGTAGGGATCTGATAAGTGGACCAGGCAAGAAAATAGATATCTGGGTAGATGCCTTTACTTCATGCAGTGAATCCTACTTAAAAGAATCTGATACACACTTATAAGACAATACTAAGGCAAGGCGAAAGCATCAAAAAATAACAATAGAGTTTATTATTCAACGATAAGTCCTAAAACATGAGAGAATACGAGAGAACTCAAAACTCTATTGTAGCGATAACAAGTAGCAACCATAAAAGATGTTTAAATACTCGTACAATGGCCTAGTTTCAAATTAAAAGTAAGGGTTAAGTATAAATAACTAATCAACCCTTAAGAATATTTCTGAATTGATCTCAACATTCCAAATAATTGTAAACCAGTCGAAGGTTCTCAAGAACACAGAAAACAGAAATACAGTGAGAGAGGTGAAGAAGATGAGAGGGAGATTTAGAGAAAGAAAGGTTACATTTCATATCTGAACATAGTCGTTAGTTACAACTGTTTACACCAACAGTATATATCAGCAAGCATAGCTTGCTCACTAAGCTGCAATCTTTAACAAACTAACTGCACTCTTAATCTCTGGCCACATGTTTCTTTTGTAGCCATTGGATCTTAATACCTCTAACATCCCCCCACAAGCTCAGGAGTAGTGAAGCTGAGCCTGAGATTGGCACAATGTGTCTGAAAAAGTGGTGCAGATAGCCCTTTTGTAAGAATATCAGCATATTGGTCATGCGAAGACACAAAATGGACTTGTAGCTGTTGTTTAGCAACCCTTTCTCGAACAAAGTGCACATCAATCTCAATGTGCTTAGTTCTTTGATGCTGAACTGGATTACACGTAAGAGCTATAGCAGATAAATTGTCACAAAGCAGAATAGGTTGCACAGATAGTGGAACGTGAAGAAATAGCAACAGTTGTTTGATCCAATCAAGTTCAGCTGCAGTTGTAGATAAAGCCCGATACTCAACTTTTGTGGATGACCGAGAGACTGTGTTTTGCTTCTTAGACGACCATGAAATTGGATTAGAACCCAGAAAAACAACCAATCCAGTAGTAGACCTTCGATCATTAGGATCCCCGGCCCAGTTTGCATCACTATAGGCAGTAATGCTATAAAGATTAAATTTACGAATTAAATGATGTGCTACTAATAGGAATAAGCATATTTATCAATGTTTAAGTTATAAACCAATCATCAATTTCTATGTCCTTTAGTTTTCAATTTTTTTTTTTCTAAATTGAGTGATGCTATTCATACCATATTTTTATACCACATTTCTATATCACCTTAGATGACATCTGATGTGAACAGCAACAATCATTATTTAATTAACTGGTTTTTCTTAATTATTAGTTTATTAATAATGAATTAAATTTAAAAATCTGATTAATTCAAATGATGTGGCTGTTCATATCAAATACCAATTAAAGTCATCTAAAATATAGTACAAAAATATGATATGAATATCATTATCCTTCTAAATTTAATCTTTTCTAACATTACCCTTCTTTCACACTTCTAGCAACCGACAGTCAGCCTGGAAACTATCACGCCTATGTAGGCAATGACATCACACCCAGACGTGATCATGAGAATGCAAACATTTCCCACTTTGAATTATGAAAGACCATTCGTTGCGGAGAGGAGGAAAACTAGAGTCTTGTTAATCATAAAATCTCTAACTTTTTGATTAAAATCTAAAATATTTAAACTTTAAAACAAAACTATACTTTTGCTCTAATAGTTGCAAAATATCATAATTTATTTTTATAAATATTTTAACATAAAAATATTTAAATTTCGAGAAAAGTTGAAAATTCACTAAACAAACCCTATGAAACATGTATTTATAGAGTTTTTAGATGAATTTTTATTTAAATATTTTTTAATTGTTTTAATTGTTAGATTTAATTTTGAGTCGATAGATTATTGTTTTTATTAAATTTGACCATATTCAATCTTAGCTGTTGAATTTAATGTATTTAAAATTTTAAAATTGCTCAAATTTTTTGTTTTAACTCAGAACTTATTTTTAAACCCAACAATTAGAGAAAGATTGTGTTAGTTTAAAATCTAACTTTTGATGGGCCAGCCTTTTAACCCTGACCTAAATTTTGGATTAAATTTGTCCAAATTTCAGATTTTAATTCAAATTTATTTAAAACCCAACCATTAGTTTAAAACTAATTTAAAACTTAAAGTTTTAGATTTTAATTTAAAAGTTGAAGATAATCTCAGGAAAATCAGAGAACACCAAAAGCAAAAGGAAAAAGAAAAGGGAAAGCAATAGAAAAAGAAAAAGATAAAAAGGAGAAATCATTGTGTTCGTCGTCTTCATGCCTGCCAGCGGATGTTTTTGCAGATGGCTTCAAGGATTGTAGTAGACTGGCTTATGCAAGGAGAGTAAACGTAGGTCGAATAAATTGGATTATATTTTATAACATAAATAATGTATCATAAATAAAAAATAAGTACATTAATTAATATTTTAATAATAATTTAACAATTAGATTCTTGTTAAAATTGTTTACTAAACTAAACTGAAATCGGAATACAAATAATATTGGTTCCATGTATATTGTTTACTAGTTCATTGGAATCAGAATTAAAACTAACTTCATTACTAAATTGTCCTTATTGAAAATAAATTATTTTAATGTTATAATCATTGAAAATTAAGTTTATCTATATAAAATTAAATTTATCTTTACAAACTTTTATCTTTTCTCCCTCCCATCCTCTCATCCCCATCTTTTCTTCACCGACTTCCAGAGCACTCCCATATAAAAGCAGATGCTTTAAACAGAGAAGGGCCTAGACCTAGTCCGAAGAGGGAAGAAGAGAAGTGAGAGTGAGGGGAACAAGCGAATCGAGAAGCATTGCGGTTCGATTTGCGAAGAGGGTGTTGGTGCAGCAATGGCGCTGGCATTCGATGAGTACGGGCCGCCCTTCATAATACTGAGGGAGCGGGAGCAGGACCAGAAGTATCGATTCAGATAACCACAGATCCTGCCACTGCCTCCCATTTGGAGGACACCAATTCAAGGAATTCAATTACCACCTGTTACTAGAGAATCCGACTCCGGGAAATTCCGGAGAGTGATTCCGGAATTCATTTGGATCCCACACGATTTTTTATTCCTCCCACGTTAGTAAACATCGGTGTAATCTATAATCGGAATTCAATTCCGTTTTTTTTATTCCCATTACCGTTACTTAAACGCGCCATTAGTTTTGTAGTTGTCATTCTATGAGGCTTACTAGTAATAACTTTCAATATTTTCATTTCCTTTGTGTTTGGAGATTTATGGAGTTATGATCCAATTAAGTATCAATTTACTTCAAGGAGTTATGTTAATCAAGGTGTTATTAATACAAAATCTTGTCGAACGTCCTGCACAGGAAATTTCTACAAGCTTAACTACTACATTAAAAAGCAAAATCGTAGCAACGGACTTGTTGGCAAGGCACACTAATGATCAAAAAAAGGTTTTTTTTTACAGGCACAGAGCTTGCATACTTCTAAAGGTTAGGGATCAAATCTTTTACAAAGCCATATGCACACAGCTGAAACTATTCAGAATTCCAAAAGTACAGTTCCCAAAAAGATATAAGATGATCCTCTCCATAGGCCTAATGGCACCACATTCTGCTTACCAACACTTCACATGTTCATATAATAACTGCCACTGCTGGTTATTTCACTGCAAAGAGACATTTGATCAGAAGTGCTCCCATCTGGCACAGAAAATATGAAGGTGTAACAATTTCGGAGACGAAATGTTTTGTTGCCCTTGATGTCGCCGCCTCTCTTATTCTGGTAGCCAGGGTAGTCCGATTTATTGAAGATCACTTTATCACTCAAGATCAGGCCAGCTTCCTCTGCAAGTCCTTCCACATTCCATCTGTGATAGGGGTAGTCATCCCGGGTTGTAACATGAATTTCCCCACCATAGCTAAGCATGCAACGGGCACTTTCGAAAAATCCTTTCAGCAACTCCCTGTGCATTCTACATCCATTGAACCCCAAAATCCATAAACATCAAGGGAAGAGCAATTAGGTAACTAATTGGTGCATTAATGATGGTATATGACATTCAATGATATGTACAGGTGAAAGCTTAAAGAATCTGCGGTTTATAGAGCTACCATACTTATCTCCCTGCAGCCCGTTACACAAAATTGATTAACCATGCCTGAAATACTTCATAAAAATTTGGAACTATAGCATGCCTTGGATGATAGCACTCAACACTTCTCTTTTTTCTTTTCCAATAAAATGCCAAATTCAACTAGCTGAAAACAATGTGCAATATTCTACCATATATATAGTTAGTTCACACATGTGAGAGGCTTGTAACTCGGTTAGTTAAGAGCCCCAACATCTATAGTGCCAAACTCGATTCCCCTTCTCCAATATCGTTTTGTCTTAAAAGAGCAAAAGGTTGGTTCCTATATAACACAATCAATTCATCATTGTTTCGCAAGAAAGGGGAACTTGTGTATTATGCAATTGGAGGATAGGTTTCGAACTTGGGACATCTTCCTGAATTGTAACCAAAGAATGTTTTCGTATTTGTCAGCGAATCCAAGGCCTTACTCCCCATGAATTGAATACTATGATGAATTAGACTACATAAATGATGAATGCAAATAAAATTACCTAGTGTGACATTAAAAGCATGGACAAAAAAAAATGAAATGTTAATTGAATTAGTGACTTACTGAATAAGCTCATAGTCCTTTTCACGTAACCAAGAGTAATGACCTGCATGAGGAAAGTTGAAGATGATGACATCAAATTCCCTCCATTTGAGGACAGGATGGAGGTCCATCTTATGCACATCAACTCCATGCAGCACCAAGCACCCCATCCTCCTCAACTCTTCTAAATGTGACCAACTGCTCCAGTGTTTTGCCAACAAAGAACCTAAAACATCGAGTCGAATCGATCAATCTTGCACCAAATCATCGACGGAAAACATCTCAAGAAAATCAAACAAACCCAAAATTTAATTTATTGCCAAAAAATGCAGAGGAACAATTTTATACACATCCGATGCGTACCCATTTGAAAATTGTACCTAAAGATAGAAAAATCACAGAAAAGCAGAAAACTCAAGAAACCCAAAATTATAAATTGCATAAAGTTACATCTAATGAGTACCCATATGCATAAAAGATTAGGGTTTGAGAAATGTTACCTTGGGATTCAAGAGAAGTGGCCACCATGTTAGTAGCAGACCCAAAAGCTCGGGCCAAGCAAGCAGAAAACGAGAAGTTACCTTCCCCAACAAGCAGTATCTCTTGAGAGCTGTTGTAGTGCTCAATCCACCTCTCCATTTTTGTTTAGTTGCAGATTTCAAGTAAAACAAGGTCAATGTTAGTGGAAAGAAGGAGGACTTCCCAGTGATCAAAACCCCATGAGGGAGCAGACACCCTTCCAGAGAGTGCAACAGTTATTTATTTGTTTTATAGAAGAGAGATTTGGGCTTACGGATCTGTTGAGCCTTTTGGTATGTTGGTCCTTTCAGTTTGTTCCCGAAAGTAACGCCATAAGGCCCATGAAAGCAGTGTCATGTGTGTCGATTTTTGTTGAGGACTTGTGAGCAGGGGCGTCTTTTGGGGAGCATAGTGTTCGACCGCAAAAGGGGACCCAACAAAAAAAGTTCAAGTGGGACATACAAATACGATGCCTCTTTTCCTACTTTCTCACTTTTTTTTCTCAAAAAAGCTTGCCCACTTTTTTTCTTCAAAAAAGCTTGCCCACTTTTTTTCTTTTAAGCAATTTAATAAGAGTCCTAATAAATCCATTTTATTGTCCTATTTTTACACTCACATTATAATTTCACCTGCCATAAAAAATTAAAATTTTATTTATCCACCTATCATTATTCCTAAAATAACCTGTAATGTTTTTTTTTTCAAAGAAATATTAGTATGTTTTTAAAGAAAACCAGCATGCTTCCTTAATTGCCTATCCTAGCTTGCACCAGAATGGCAGAATCTCCTTTTACCCCCCATCAAAAACCAAAACCTTTGACACCTGCTTGGTGGCAGTTCCTTAGGAAAGAGTGAGAAACGGAAGGGGGAAAAAGAGAGAAGCATGGTGAAAGAAGAGATAGAAACACGAGGGAGATTGCTCCAAATGGGTTTTTATTCCAATTGGAATTCGTTATTTTTCGATTTGGAAATCTGGGTTGTCGTCGTTGTTCGTCTATGAGGAATAGGAAGATAGGGTGGAGGTGGTTGTACTGAAATTCAAAGGGAGAACGGAGGATTTAGCTAATGAACTACAAAATGACAATGAGGAATTAGTTGGTGATTTAGGCCATGATGAAATTGTTGACGACCTTGATGAAAATCATAATCATGACGATGCTCCTAATGGGTTGATTTGTTCTCAAAGTTAAAGTTATTAAAATCATATTTACGATAAATCATGTTGCAGGAAAGGTAAAATGGGCTAGCTTTGATATCAATTGAAGGTAACTTTTTAGACAAAATTGATTATGAAGGTTTAATTGTTTGATTAGATGTTAGACTAGAGAGCCGATGGGGTTTGAACCCACACCATGGTGCAAGGGCAACACTCATCTCCATCACTATGATAAAGGGCCACTTGTTGTCCATTTGGTTTCTTAAGTTAAACTAATTATTGATTATTTAGTAATATGGTTATTTTTGTAACATTCTTTACATTTAATGATATTTGAAAACTGATAATTAGTGTGAGTTTTTAAGTGTGTTTCAGTTTTAGTTATTGTATTTTAGCGTCAATACTTTGTTCAATTTTTTTATGGAATACTGTTTTAAGAAGGGCCTCCTTATAAATTTTGCACATGGCTCCCAAAAGCTCAGAGATGGCTCTGCTTGCAGGCACTCGGTGCTAAAACATATTGAAAAGTTGGATTTGATATAACAGTCTCAATCATTTTGTCTAATTTATTGGATCAAATGTGACGGTTAAGGGTAATGTTAAGGAGACCAAATTTTTTAAACCAACCATGCAAACCAAATGATGTTGTTGTTGATAACTGAATTATTACTTAAACATTGATTTACGTACTTATTTCCTATTATTGACACACATTTGGTTTGCAATTTTGGTTTAAAATTTTGGTCTCCCTAGTATTACCTGATAGAGAGTATAATACTTCTCCACAAATTTTGGATTTGATATAACAGTCTCAATCATTTTGTCTAATTTATTGGATCAAATGTGACGGCTAAGGGTAATGTTAGGGAGATCAAATTTTTTAAACTAAATGTGCAAACCAAATGATGTGATTGTTGATGACTAGATTATTACTTAAACGTTGATTAACGTGCTTATTTCCTATTGTTGACACATGATTTGGTTTAAAATTTTGACCAAATGCATACTTCTCCACAAAATTTTAGATGAAAATGAACAAAGAGTATGCCCACATGAAAAATAGACTATAAGTTGTAATGGCTTGTTAACACTTAATATTATGGTATAATGGTATTTCTCTTCACTGGTAAGTGAGAGGTCTTAAATTCAATTATCGCCAGAGGCAAATTTGAACCACATTATTGCTAACCCATTATGAGGCTTAGCCTACTCTCCCACCCCCTTAGTGTAGATAATATCGTTTGTAAAAAAAAAAAAAAAGTATTGATGACTCGTTTGGAAGGGTGTTTAAAATGACTGAAAACGCTTTTAGTGAAACTGATTTTCTTTCAAAAGAACTTAAAGTGTTTTTTAAAGCAAATATAAAATATATGCTTCTTGTAGAAAACACTTCAAGAATCATTAAATATAGCCTACGTGTTTTCCAATTGGTCTTTATTTATTTTTTGTTGGATCTATTTTTTAATTAAAAATAACAAATGAAAGTAACTACCGACTAAGGGTTATGAAATTACTAATTTAACCTTAACTAATCAATTTTAATGTTTTGAGGTTCCAAATAAGGAAGGACAAAATTTGGTATTATAAATGATTTGCCACTTTCCCCCTCTCCCTTAATACGTAGAGTTAAGTCATTTGATATTAAAAATTCAGTGGAGTTTATTCGACAAATTATAGGGTGTCAATAAATCACTTAAAAAATATATTGAAATTATGATTAAATAAATTTATGTAGATCGTTCGTCCAATAAAAATATAATTTCTTAATTAATTTACTTTTCCTGCCAAAAAAAAAAAATTTACTTTTCTTAGTTTCCTCCGTAGAAAAACCAAAAAACAGAAAGCAAACAAGGATCTCAAATTTGAGATAGAAAGACGATGTACGATAGAACAATTGAAAAAGTACAAATATCAAATGCCAATATACAAAAGGCAGTTCAGATTTCATGGTTGGCAGTTCTGACTTCCATTGATTTTTTCAATTCAATGTCAACTGTCTCCAAGTGAGCAAATTGACAAGAAGGAAGCTGTAAATAGTAAAACGTCTTGTTGAAATGTGTTTTTGTTAACCCTTCTGTTTCGGCAACCTCTTAGATTGTAGCCTCTAAAAAGGAGAGTTTTTTCTCCACGGAACAAACTGTCATAGCCTCTTGCATTCTCTCTCTCTCTCTCTCTTCACCAACACCTCTCTCTTCTCTCTGTCAAACCAGTTTCTCATCAATCTCCATCCATGTCAATAGGCCATTTCCAAAGGCACCAAGATTCCCAAATATCCCAAGAGGCTAAGTTGTAAGTTCCAAATTTCCAACCCTTCATTCTCATTAGCATTAGATTTCAAACAATTGAAAGAAAAAAAAAATCAATGTGAAACTTTTTACCCATACCTATTCAATGATTGCTAACCCAACAATTTTACAAATTTTGCAAAGATGCAGTCTTTGAGTCGATCGATGCGAGGTAAATCATTTCATGAGTCTCCACCATTTGCAGAGAAGATCACAGACGACCCTGTGACAACAAAAACCGCACAAAGCACGGTGACTTGCGTCTTCCTTGCCAATATTGCGACATTTTGGCGGAAGGTGACGATCATATGGTGTAAGAACCTCATGAACCATTCCCTAAGCATTCGGATTGATAGCTTAGACGGCGAGTTTCATTATACGTGCAAATTCGACCTAAAGCCATGGCATTTTTGGAGCAAAAAAGGGTACAAGTCATTCGAGTTCGAAGGGAATCAAGTGGAGGTTTATTGGGATCTTCGGTCTGCAAAATTTGGCGGCAGCCCAGAACCGTGTTCCGACTTTTATGTTGCTCTTGTTTGCGATGAGGAGGTTGTGTTGTTATTGGGAGACATGAAGAAAAAGGCATACAAGAGAACAAAATCCAGACCAGCCCTTGTGGAGGCACTTTTATACTACAAAAAAGAAAACGTGTTTGCCAAGAAAAGTTTTGCCACAAGAGTGAAGTTTGATGAGAAGAGAAAAGAGCATGACATTGTCGTGGAGAGCTCAACGTCCGGCCTGAAAGACCCAGAAATGTGGATCAGTGTAGACGGGATTGTGTTGATTCATGTCAAGAATTTGCAGTGGAAATTCAGAGGGAATCAGACTGTGCAGGTGAACATGCAACCGGTGCAAGTTTTCTGGGACGTGCACGATTGGCTTTTCAGCAGCCCGGGGACAGGGCACGGGCTGTTTATTTTCAAGCCAGGGGCACCGGAATCAGAGAGCGATCACGACAGAGATGGCAACGGCAGCATAAACAGTGATAATAGCAGTGCTTATTATTCAACTCAAACAAGTAATAACTCAACATCTTCTGACTTCTGCATGTTTCTTCATGCTTATAAGATTGAGTAAGGGAGACTAGCTTACAGAAAACACGCAAAGTAAAAAAAAATAAAAAATAAAATAAAAAAAGAAAGAAAAGGAAAATGGTTGTAAAATTGTAAATTATGGTAGTAGGATTAATTATGGGTACTTTAGTACTCATCTGATAATTTGTAAATTAAACTTTATTCGTATTATATATGCAGGAAAGAAAATTAAGGTCTAGAAATGCTATTCCATGATCTCCTACTTATTCTTGCCATTTTTCAAGTGGGTTAATTATTATTCTTGCCATTTTTACTTTCTGTATGTAGAAAATTGGAGAGGGTATTGGTATAATGTGGATACGGCTAGGGTTTAAGGACCGATATTGCTCTTAATTTTTCAGGGTAAGAAAGGTAAACAAAATGAATGAAGTTAGTATCAATATCAAGCGCCACGACGATGAGGAACATGTTCTAGAGTTTAATTGTAGCCCAAACCATGAAAAAGGAGTAGAGGAATTGATTCATTCTACCCTTGTTTTGATAGATTAATCCACTTGCTCCTAATTTTCTTATTTACTGGTGTTAAATTGGTTGACGTGAAAAAAGATCAACAACATCGATGAAAAAAGAGTAGAAAGAAAACGATGTCCCAATATATAGGGTTTATACGCCATTTTACTAACCAAGTCATGATATCCCTAATCACACCAACACTTAATTAACCTTCTTATTTACCACCTTGTTTCGTCATTGCACGACCGCGAAGTACCCTTTGTTGGCTCCGATGGACAAAGGAAGTTAGGGTAGCCGAAACATATTTGTCGATTCAAAGATGCAGTGCGTCCTTTATTTTTAAAATAAGAAAGGGTAGAGAAAATGTCTCAAGTCAATGCTTAAATATCAGGCATCACGACGCTAAAGGAACACATGTTGGAGCTTAATTGTAGCCCAAATCAAGTAAAAAGAGTAGAGAAATTTATTCATTAATTCTACACTTGGTTTGATAGAGAAATTTATTCTTTTTACTCATCTGCCGCCTGAAACAAGATTTGACTCTCACTTTACTTCCTATTATTGAAAAATCGACCATTAACCCATTGAAAGTTAAATTCTATCTCAATTTGTCTTCTTTTCATCTTCTCCATCTGCCATCCCAGTAAGTTAGATCATGTGACTTCCAAGAATAATTTTTTGTTTCGAATGAAAACGTGAGACTCGAGTGTTGTTTTAGAGGTAAATGAATAATCAAAGGCAAGTCATAAACCATACCCCAAGAAGAAGGAAAAAACAGATACCATTGATTTAAAAGAAAACTAATGATTCATTGATTTAAAAAAAAAATACTAATGAAAATGGTTTCGAACTTTGAATATTTAACCAAAAGCATCCTAGTAACTTTATTTAATGGTTTAGACAAAATTCAACGTTAAACAGCCATGGAGCTTTAATAGAAGAGTAATGTTATTCATACCATCTTTTTATATCACATTTTTATATCACTTTAGGTGGCATCTAATGTGGACAACCATATCATTTGAAAATTTTGCAAAACCCAAGGAAATGAAGGAGAAAGACTTCTCATATACCACAATCATAATTTAATTAACTAGTTTTTCTTAATTATTAGTTTACTAAATAATGAACTAAATTTAAAAATCTGATTAATTCAAATGATGCAGCTGTCCACATCAAATGCCACCTAATGTGGTATGAAAATGTGATACGAGAATATGATATGAATATCATTATTGTTAATAAAAAGGACTTCTCTAAACTTTTTCTTAACCAAAAACAACCTATTAACTTTATTTAATAAATATGATTTTAATTTTACTAAAAAAAAAACAAAAGCTTAATATAATAATTAAAAAACCCCAAAATATTTTTTCTCTTCATAATCTCTCTTCTTTCCTCTGCCACTTCCTCTCTCTTTCCTTTATGCAAAGGGAATCCATTTTTTTTTTTAAATTGAGGATTAGGTGTGGGGCCAATTCCACATCAAACTTCAACAATCCGAACCATATACTTTGTAAGTCTCGATTCATAGATTATCCTTGCAAAATTTCAATTCAATCCGAATCCGTTGGAACTCCGAAGTTAAGCGAGAAGGGGGCTAGAGCAATCCCATGATGGGTGACCCACTGGGAAGTTGCTCGTGAGTTCCCAAAAACAAAACCGTGAGGGAATGGTAAGCCCAAAGCGGACAATATCGTGCTACGGTGGTGGAGCGGGCCCGAGAAGTGATCCGTCCCGGGCCGAGATGTGACAATTTGGTATCAGAGCCTAACCCTGGTCGCATGTGTGCCAACGAAGACGTCGGGCCCCTAAGGGGGGTGGATTATGACATCCCATATCGCCCAGGGGAATGACCCTTATATGTATATTCGCATCCCTACCTAGCACGAGGCCTTTTGGGAGCTCACTGACTTCGGGTTCCGTTGGAACTCCGAAGTTAAGCGAGAAGGGGGCTAGAGCAATCCCATGATGGGTGACCCACTGGGAAATTGCTCGTGAGTTCCCAAAAACAAAACCGTGAGGGAATGGTAAGCCCAAAGAGGACAATATTGTGCTACGGTGGTGGAACGGGCCCGGGAAGTGATCCGCCCTGGGCGGGGATGTGACATTAAATGTCTTAAATATTTTTGATTTAGCTAATATTTTGCAAAGATGATCTATGAGGTGTAACTTGAAAAATAAACGTTCGGATCGTTAAAGTTCGATGTGGTGTGAACCCCACAATTAATTCCCATTTAAAAAAAAAAAAAAAGGTATTCCTTCCCTTAAAGGCTTCCTACACACACATGTACATAGACCCTTTATACAAAGGGATCCCCATTTTTTGAAAAAAAAAAAAAAAAGGGATTAGGTGTGGGGCCCACTTCACATCAAATTTCAATGATCCGAACCATCTATTTTGTTACGTTAGTCTCGATTCATAGATCATCCTTACAAAAATTCAATTCAATCCGAAACCATTTGTCTATTTAATAATTAAGATCAAATTTCATTTTTTCTTATATAACAAAGTATTCCTTCATTTCTTTGAACCCAATTAGATGTCTTAAATATTTCCAATTTGGCTAATATTTTGTAAGGATGATCTATGAGGTACAACTTGAAAAATGAACTGTTCGAATTGTTAAAATTCGATGTGGTGTGGACCATACAACTAATCCATTTTTATAAAAAAAATGGAGATACATTCCCTTAAAGGCTCCCTCTCTCTCTCCACACACACACATCTTAAATTATTTTTTATGAATTTTTATTCATGAAAAACACTTACTTGTTTTTTAATTTTTTTTTGAAAAAGTACAATTTCTTAAATTAATTTTATAAAAATAGTGTCACTGTTTAGAAATGGTGACCACTATTTCCAGAAATACTAATACTGTTTTAGGTCCCTATTTCTAAAAGAGAGATTATATTTACACACCCTAAATTACTTCTCCCACACTCTTTTAATTTTTTAATATTTTCTACACAACACTAACACTTGATAGAAAAATATTTAAAAAATTAAAAAAATGTAAGATAAGTAATTTAAGATGTGTGTGAATATAATCTCCCCTTCTAAAAATAGTGACCACTGTTTAAAAATAATGTTATTGTTTTTAGAAATATTGACCAGTATTTATTAAAAAAGCGTCACTATCTAAAAATGGTGACAATTGTTTCTAAAAGTAGTGGGATCGTTTGTCAGATTTCTATGATGACTTTTCAGTTGCCTAGACGGTATCGACTTCCCTAGGTCTTTATATTTTCTTCTGGGTTTGATCTGGCCTTTTTTATTCCCTGTTGGTTTTTCTTCAATACAATGACTTTGGACCAAAAAAAAATATATATATATATATGTATATAATTTAGATACTGAAGAGAAGAAAAAGAAATTAAGAGCATGATGAAGTTTAATGATTGAGTATAGAAAAATTTTAAACCACGCAATCACTCTAGCTCAGATGAAGAAAATAAAATAACGTGCTAATAAGGTGTTGGAAATAAACTATGAAATACATAGAGACAGAGAGAATTGAGAGATAGGGATGAAAAAACAAAGTGACTGGCCCGCAAGATGTTACACACTGCCCCGAAGTGGACGGCCACATAATTAATAGTACTTACAACACCCACATAAATATATACAGTAATAAATGTAAACTACTGAAGTACCTTTACAACCAACGTTTCACATTCCTATTAAATTTTCCTTTACCGTAAGTAGAAACGGTAATTCTAACTAGGAGGGGGAATTCCATCCAAGCAAATAAAGTGACTGGAACACTTGAAAGAAGTATGACCGGAATCACAATCCAGGAATGTCCACAATTTATAATTAGAAGGGCAGTAGAAAAAGCAATCATCATGGTTGCAATAGCAAAAAAAAGAGTGGCAAGCCCTATTATCATCTTTGTGGGTAAGGATTTCAGGAAATCGTCTTCTGCATAACGTGATGTGAGAATTCCAAGAAACGTTAAAGTTGCAGTAGTGGAAGAAAAGAGTGATATAGCATCTGAAGCTATAAACACCATAAACAATTTTTCATTGATGAATGCGGGAAAGCCGGTATCTTTATTTCCTCCGGGAACTGTAATCGCAGCAGCAAACATCATGGTAATAATAAGAGCACCTACAACAGTATAAGAAGTTGCTGTCTCTTTCATCCATTTTTCACCTTTCTGTAGCAATTCACTGTGACTCTTTGTAAATAGATCCCTTGGTGTCAAATTATCCTTGTTCGTAGAGTCAAGAAACTTGGGAGGTACAACCTCCTCTACCTCCTACATTGTATCAAACAAAAAGTATTGAGACATGTGAGCATAGAATATATTTTGATATAATACCGTTTTGCAATTTACACTCCAAGGCTTGGGGATGGTTTTAAAAAAAAATTATACATCGGGGTTGTATAGTTGCCTAAACAACTTAAGAAGGACAACCTGTGGTCCTGAGTTCGATCTCACTCAGAATTTCCAGAGAGTTAATTTGATTCTTCCAGTTTATGTTATGATTAGGGCAAGTAATTTTGAATTATATATGCTGAGTGGGAAATTCTAACCTTGTACCATTGTAGTTCACGCTGCATCTGCAAAGCTGCACCCGGAATACAATTAAGTTGTGTAAATGGGGCAAGCAACCCTGCCATATGTAGCATGTTATTTTTATCGTTGTCGGTAAGAGCTATGAACCAATCTTTTGCAGAGATCCCATGCAAAAGGTTATAAATCTTTTCTTGACGACATTGGACGGCATAGTGAAATAAGATCTTTGACTTTTCATTATTCCAGACGAACTGAAGTTCTGGATTTGCTTTACATATCTTAGTAATAAACTCGACGTTCCCTTTATCAACAGCTCGGAGCATTGCCGAAGCCACAGTGCTCAGCAGCTGTTGATCCATGTCCAACTTCTTTATCTCTTTGCACA